TGTACATAGCAGTAAAGCTGCTCAGACTGCCTCTGTTTGTGTGTTTACTCTCAAGGAAACACACACTGTCACTGCCAAACCCATGCCTTAATGACTGCAGATATCCAGATATTTTCCAGTCTCCAGGGTGTTGTTTGGGCCTCACTGTAATTTGCCGTATGCAATACCTATTTAACTGTGTTTTAGCCACTTGCATCTCATTTCTGTTGTGCGTTGTTTCAAAAAAAAAGGTGAAAATGCCATTAAAGAAGCTCACCATAAAGCTCTCTGCGGGCCTTAGGAGGCTATGTCTGGCACTTTGTATTGCAAACGTATGTGCAGACCTCCCACCTGCATTTAAAAATATTTCGATGACTGTAAACCTTACTTGCAAGTACTAAGTTGATATTCACTCGCCAGCTATTTTATTAGGTATCCCTTGCTAGTGTTTGGTTGGACCCTCTTTTGCCTTTAGAACTGCATTAAGTCTTCCACACACAGATTCTAAAAGAAGTCAGAAACCTTTTTTAATAGATCTAGAACATGTTGCAAACATGCATTTGCTGCGCCTTGGTCAGCTTCACATCTTTCAGGAAATTCTCCTTTTCCAACACATCCCAAAGATAAAAGCTGTGCACTGAACTTGTTGCCATGGTCAAGAACCCAGACTGACATGAACTGACCCCTTTTTGACATGATGGATCATCCTGTCAGAAGTAACGTCAGAGGATTAGATAAAGTGTGTTCATTGGGGCAAAAACATGTAAACCGCTCAGGACAGTACTGTCTTGCATGTCTTAGGTTTTTCCCTGCCTCATCTCATTACCTAAATAAATTTGTGATTGAAAGGCCTCTGCTAGCTGCTAAGGAAGGAGTATAAACTCTAGATCAAGATGTCCTGGAGTAGAGAAACATCTAAAATTTTAAGGAAAGTGGTCTCCTGAGGACAGAGTGTAAAAATCCCTGCATTAAGGAATGAATATAGTCAGTAACAACTCTCAGGTAGGTTTAAACAACAGTGAGTGTGACAAAAAATTCTTCCACCAGATGGTTCAGCTGACTTTACAAGCTCAAGACCTGGCCTTGCTTCTGCTACATACTTTTTTTTTTTTCTTAGTAGGATGATTTAAAGCACTGGTCTCCAAAGCAGGGACATCTCCCCAAGAGGGGACAAAAAGTCAAAATTAATAAATAAACAGTTAAAGACCATCTAAAGTAGAAATAAAGGTGTGTTCTAAGTTTCTCACACCACAGCTATATGTTTTATTAATCACCCATCTGAATTTTGGAGTTTTCAAATTATACTGCCACATCTTCTGCAATGCAACACTCTTCTGTTTGTTCTCAAACTCTTGCTCGTACTTTACCAGCTTTTCTTTTTTTTTTTTACTTTTTTCACTTTACCCAGAGTTGTCAATGGTGACTGAGTTGGAGCTGGATGCCGATCATTTCTAAATATCCACAAAATGCATTTTGAATATAACGTTTAGATTGTTTTTTAGGTCGGATCCATTTAATATGGACACACTTTTTTCTGTAAAAACGTACAGAATTGTCTTTATTTATATATTTTATTTTTGAGTTTTTACGGCACTAGTGGCTTGTTTTTTTTCAACAGTAGGCTATTAAGAAAAGGGGTATGAGAGAGAGGGAGAGACATGCAGGAAAGGACCACAGGCCCGGTTTGAACCCGGGTCGCCTTGAGGACTAAGGCCTCTGTATATGGGCCGTGTGCACTAACCACTGCACCACCTGCACGCCCGAAACAAGTTTTCTCTGCCCTGAGATGCTGGAGGCATGTCATATAGGGCTGGTAAACCACATTCACACAGTATTCTATTTCTCTGCATCAATTTTAAAGTAAAATATATGCTATTTTTCATTTCTATTTTCAATACATGGTGATCAGTAGAATTCATCGGGGAAACAGAGGAGAGTCACTCTGCTCTCTGACTGCAGACATGGGCTGCAGCTGCTGCGTCTGAGTCCCTGTTTCTGAGGAGGGAATGGCTCGCTCACTTTACTGTTCAGTGATGGTAAATCCAGAGCAATTGATGTTGCCATCAAATTCTCGAACCAGCCAGGAAAAAGTCACTAGATTCGTTGTAAGTTGTTTTTTTGAAAAAAGTCCCTAGAAAGTCTGAAAGGTTCTAAATATAGAGACAAAGTTGGCAAGAATGCAGCAGCTGCCTTGTCGTTCTTATTTATACTGCTGGGCCAGCAGGGGTAGGACCTATGCTGAAGGCAGCAACATGACCACAAGAGGTCGCGCTTTTAGACACGCCAAAGAAAATCTTTAAGCACAGCAATATTGAAACCCAAATTCTCTTCTAGTGCTTAGTTCAAGCTGCAGCAAAGCGTCTCCACTACATCTAAATGCAACGAGTTGCTGCTCTGTGACTGGCTGGTTTGTTATTTATGTTTACAGGCATTTAACAGGTGTACGTCTGTAAAGGTGTTTACTTTCATCCTCTGAATGATCCAGCAGCTGCATCTTCTAAACCACTCATATTACCTAATTAGTGTTTGGACTTATTTTAGCTTTGACTCTGCATGGTTCTGTTGTTTAATTGTGTGGATTAAAACTGATTAGACAAGTCAATTAAAGATTGGCTCCGTCTCGTGCTTTATTTTTATGTCCCTCAACAAATGTGAGATGCCAGCGACAGGTAATTTAGTCTAAGCACAGAAACCACAGACACGTGTTGAGGTCAAATGTTTGGAAGAACACGGACTAAGCGTTTACTCAGCTGGAAGCTGACATGGGTGACATCCTGTGATTTCCACACAGCCTGTTGGATTCACATAGGATCTACTTCAAACGGGAGGCTGACTAGTGAATATGTATTTAAATACATGAAAGGTAGCAAGCAGACCCCTTCAGGGAACCTCTAGGATGGATTCACACACAATTATGATCCAATACAGAAACTCAAGGGAACCCTCAAAGGAAAGCGTCGATTTCTGCAACAGCAAGGACGAGTTAAAGTCAGAGGTCCGACAAGCGCAGCGTAAAATCTACAGATTAATTGACAAAGGAACTGAGAAAGATGTTGCATTGATGAAGTCAAAGTCAAGAACTTGATCTCATAGAAATTCCTTAACTTGTGAGAGCTGTATATTGAAATGTGTCTGTAGAGCATAGAAAATTATACATTAGATACATTTATAAGGTCAAAACTGCTCCACAGATTCAAACCAGCTACATCATGTTATTGCTTATTGGCAGTGGCGGCCGGCCCATAGGGGGCGCTGGGGCACCGCCCTCCCTGATAAGAAGAGAGAAACGTAAAATATATTTTTAGAAATTAACTCATAAATGTCAGTTTTAACAAATTATATAAACTACATTTCCCTATCTACTGTCATTAATTTGTGGATTTCCACAGACAGACTCCTACCGTCTCTGTTCTGGGGGCTGTGATCAGACTGACCCACATTTGCAGAGAATCTGTCAATCATGTACTATTGCTAGGTGAATTTAATGGCCAATCAGCGTCTCGGAACTTTATGGTATTGGGGCGCTGAAAATACTGCGCTTTAACAGGCTTCTGAACCCAAGCGCAGGTGCAGACAGTTAGAGGGGAGATGGCGAATGTAACGACCGAGATGCAGCTTCCACCAAATTCGGTGAGATCCTTATTTATCTACCCATTTGCCAGAAGAATATCCCTGTTGTAGGATATGAACATTTCATTTCATGGTTATTGTGACTGTGACGAATCCACCTCGTCGCTTAAAACAACCTCTCTAACTTTGCGCGCCACACACACATTCCTGTTATACTGTGTTTGTGAGGACCAATACACTCGCGCTGAGACCAGTAGCTCCATGAACTTAAAACACACAAGCTGTTCCTGGTTACCTGCTGGCGTATTGAGGGTGCACACTTAATATTTCAGTGGGGTTAGCCGTGTGTGTGTGTGTGTGTGTGTGTGTGTGTGTGTGTGTGAGTGTGTGTGGGTGTGTACGTGTTTATGCTACGGGGACTTGTCATCTTCAGTCTGGCTGCGTCTTTGCTGGGTTCAAACCCAGTTTGGTGTAATGGAATAAGTCAATGAATCTGTGTAAAAGAAGTAAGTTGTAAAAATTATTTGTTTTTGTACATCAATTGTTTGTGGAGGTAATATATGGACAAAACTGATTAATGAGAAGAAATCAGAAATAAGAGAGCCTGATGTGAGGGGCTTAAACTATTTAATGAGGGCTGTGGGAAGAAAAGTGGCAATTTTTGTTTTCTGTTTCTTTGTTACATTGCTGGTAACTGGAGGGAGGCTGAGGCCCAGAGTATCTTGTATGTTTAGTTTCTTTTGCACCCTGTTTTGATTTTTTGAGCTCAATAAATCACCAACACCGGTAACCCGACTGAGACTGGATTCTTGGAGGCCAAAGAACCCCGTCACAGTGACCCAAATCATCACTGTTACTGTTATTATATAGTAAATTAAATCATTACTGTTAAATTGTATGTATTGTCCAATTGTTTATTTGAATTCTTATTCCGGATTAGTTGGAGACATACACTAGGCTATATCAGCCCCACCAAAAATATTTTTCACCAGCCGCCACTGCTTATTGGTATTAAACTGGATTTATTTAGTTTGTATTCATATGAGCCCCCTTTTTTTCCATGGCTGTATCTTTGTCTGAGGATCTCAGAAGACATCAGTAAATATGAAAAGAATTTTCTTAAAATCTGGTTTGTTATATTAGACTAAAGCAGGTTGTATTTTTTTTCCTCCATGCTGATTAAATGAAGCTGAGTAGTGATCTATCAGCTCTGTGGAACTCAGCATGCTGAGCTCAACACATCAACAACAACATTTCAAAGCAGACCAGCTAATATTTTCTTCTGAACAGCCATGCTTTTCAGATTCAGACTTTTTTTTGTCACAATTTCTCAATATTTTCCTCCTATAATAACATTACTTTAGAGGATAAATGCAGCAGGGATTTGAAGGGAAACTGATAGCGTTGAACTGTAATTTATACCTGTTTGTTGCTCCTTGTTTGTCTTGCAGCTGAGAAGTGGTACAAGCGACAGCTGACCTACCAGATTGTAAACTGGCCTCGCCACCTGTCCCAGGGCTCTGTTCAACTGGCGGTGCGAACTGCTTTCCAGCTTTGGAGCAATGTGTCTGACCTGGTGTTCCAGGAGGCCCCTGAGGGCCCTGCAGACATCCGGCTGGCTTTTTACGAGGGGGACCACAACGACGGGACCAGTAATGCCTTTGACGGACCAGGTCAGAGTCACAGAGTTACAGCCACCTACTGGCGTAAAATGTTAATACTATTATTAATCTATTCAGTAATCATAAACTTACATATGATAAATGAAACAACCAAGTTATTGTCTGGTGTGACCTCTGATTAATTCATTTTTAGAGAGAGGCGTATAGATTTACTTTGTACATGTGACCACAGGCTGGAAACAAACTGGACCTAATTAGTTCAGCTCAGTGATTTATTGGACTCTCAAATCCTGCACACGGCATAATCCTTCAGCATGGCCCTTCTCTTTTAATCCAGCATAGATGAGGGTGCAAAGTACAAATTCACTCATGGTTTTTAGTTTTCAAATAATCTAACTCACATACTATAGAGTCATTTTAATTCAGTTATACAAAAAAAATAATACCTTCTTTGTGTCTGGTGATGGGCAGTCTAAGATAACCCAGCTGTTTGCTTTTAGTGGCTGAGTTTGTGGCCTTTTGTCGTCCTCAACAGACCTTTAGGGCCTGATCTTCAAAGATTCCAAACGACAGGCACTAAATTGTACGTGCAATTTCCTTTTTAGGACGTGCAATAAGTGGGCTCGTTGCAGGTGATCTCTAGAGATTGCTGTGCAAATGTTAAGACTTGCAAACCTGTTTGGTTTTAACCCATTAAAATAAGCAGATTGCATGTTCCAGAGGAAGTCGAGAGTGGTAGTAAAGGAAAGAGTAGATTCAAAGCTGGTTGGATGCAGGTAATCATGTAAGGTAGGTAATCAAAAAAACTATTATGCAAAATATTCAAAGAACTTTACATAGGTAGCTTATCTCTATGTGCAAAAGAGAAAAATAAATTATGAAAATAACTTAACTTTGTGGCAACATTGACCACTGATATTCTTTCATATCTGTTTGCACCTGACATTCAGAAGAACTACAAAGATGCAAAATCTGTGGCTCCAGTGTTCAGATTTGGAAAAAAATGCTTTGCATGTGGTAAATTTGCACATTCTCCACCGATGAATTTCATCACCATACTGATGAAGGCAAACGCATAAAAAAAGGGTTTGCATGTGCTGTCTGCTCAATTGAAAACAAAAATCACTTTGCACCTTCTGTGAAGATCTGCTTTGTGAGAACAAAATATTTAGCACTTATTTAAAACATTAAAACCTTCTGAATACAAGGCCCTTAGTGACAGTGGACACACCTGAGTTTAAAGCAATCCCAGGTTTCTTGAAGAAATCCTTAGCAAGACCGGGCTCAGTAGGAGCCTTCTGCTGTGTGTGAATGGGAGTCTTAGAAAATCCTAAACAAAAAATAAAAGAAACACAGAAGGTTGTACCTTCTGGGTCTGATTATCAAGGATACAGAAGTAAATCTGAAAAACAAATATAATAAATTGCTTGTGAAAAAAAAGAAATGCATGAGCAGCTTAGAATGCGAATATTGCATGTACTACTGGCACCCTTTAAACTGCTGCTAGCTTTTGATCCCAAAGTTTATATCTACCATTCTTCTAAAGGTATTGATATGCCTGCAAATTTTCTGCACATCACACAGACCTCGGTGTGCTTTGTAATAAAACCACTTAAAGGGTGACATAACTGAGGAGTGGATGGAAAATTAGATTATCTTTTAAAAAAAAATCACTTAAAAGGTTTTGGATAAATTTTTTTATTTTGTTACCCATAAATAAAATTAAGTCTAACAACTGACTTCAAAAGTCATTTAAGCAGCAACAGTCCGCCCAGGTTTTATGTTATCTCAGGGTAAATATGAATGTCTCAGTTTAAAAAACAAACTAAAACATTATTCCAAGCTTTGAACATCTATTTTCTATCCATTATCTAGAAATGAAAAGAGGAAGAAACAGCAGCAAACATATCAAGACATGACTATAATTAGAAACTAATTAATCACAGAAGAAGTTAGCTTTGGAGGAGCTGCACAGATTTACAGCTCCTCTTTAACAAAGAGGCAAGACGAAAATTGGCGTTGATAGGAAGCCAAATGAAGGTCTGTCTTTTGCAGCTGGTTCTATTTCATGTTGGAGACATGGCTAACATGGAAGACAACGAGAAACAAACTGAACTTTATTACAAATTGAACAGTGTGTGAAGGAAAACTAACACTCTTCATCACCCTAAAATTAACTTTAATGAATTGGTAAGGTACCAACTAAGGCTGTTTGTCCCCCTAATAAAATTGGCTGTGAAGTAAATAAAAAAAGTTTAATTTAATGAAACAATAAACAAATAAAAGTAAAACTGAACATGAAATCAAACCCGAGCCTCGCTGTGTCCTGGTTAATATAAAGGTTGCTGTCCAGTTGTGGCACCAAACATGAATGGTGTCTGTGGGAACAAAAGGAAATATGTAAACGTCTCCTGTCTGGCTTTCAGGTGGGACCTTAGCTCATGCATTCCTGCCTCGTCGAGGAGAGGCCCACTTCGACATGGCGGAGAGATGGACCCTGAACGGACACAAGGGCCACAACTTGTTCATGGTGACCGCCCATGAGATCGGACACACTCTGGGCCTGGAGCACTCCCCCGTGCGCCACGCTCTGATGTCCCCGTACTACAGGAAGCTGGGCCGCAGCCTGGTCCTGAGCTGGGACGACATCCTGGCCGTGCAGCAGCTGTACGGTGAGAAGATGTTCACATCGGAATGTAAGGGTGGGGTGGCTGCAGGTTTAACGTCCAAATGACAAATCTGTCTGGCTCCAAGGACATGACAAAGGGTGGAGCCCATAATGGTTATTAGAGCAGACTGTCATTGAGGAGATCCTGATGTAGAATAATCCCTTTGTAACGCTGCTCGTTAAATCAGGGACTGTGGGACGGGGCAAGAAAAGGTCAGACTGCCTCTGGCTGCATATGGAGGGCAGACATTTACATACAATCATCCTGGAGATAAATCTAATTTTGAATTATTTTGTTCAAGGTGGAATGATAATACAGACAAGTACTTCACTAAGCTTTAAAAACATCAGTTTTGATTTAGTTTGTATTTTTGCTGATTCATCAGACTGAGACAAAGTCACGCTCAAGCATCTGGATAAGTTTGGTTTCCTTCCATAAATCAAGTTTATAGACAAGAGAGGAGCTTCAGCTACAAAACTGACACATTTAAGCTCTGAGATTTTACAGCTGACCAAATGGCTTCTAGAAAAAGTCGTTATGGAAACATTAGACACAGACTGCGGTGTTTACAAGAACAATGTTTGGTAAGGCTTTTAAACCTAAGAACATTGTGGCAACTACCAAGCCTAGGGGTGGTAGTATCATGCTGAGGGTCTGTTTTTGCTGCTGGTTTATTGGCGGAAAGGGGTGAAATGATCAACTTCTCTTCGGCTTGGATCTCAAATCAACAGCCAGCATTTCAGCAGAAATGAGAAAATATCAACAGAAATGCCAAAAAACTTGCGTTCAACTTCTCATATTTTCAAAGATTACCTATACTGTAAGTTTTATTGTTAGTATGCAATGAAAACTGTTCAAGTACGTCGTCAACAGAGCAAAAATTACAGTTTAGACACATGGAAGAGTGTTTTTAAACTGGGCTGTAAATCGGGTGTGAGCAGAGCAGCGTATTTGCAGCGCCCCAATAGGGGCTTGTTTTCTCCAACAGGTTCTAAATGAGATGTTGAACTAGATCCTCAACATCTGACTTGTGTTTGTCTCCTGGTGATAAAGTGCACACATTCAGAGCTTTTATGTAAACAAACTCATAACTTTAATGTAACAAGTGAGAGGCCTGCTGGAAAGAGCAGAGAACTTTCCACAGTCTTTATGTTTCTCTGAGTTCCTGGCAAACATGGGAACAGTTTCTAATCTAAACCACAACACCCCCCCTCTGTGCTGTTGGCCGAGTTTATCTCTTCAGCAGGAGGGGTCTGCTCTGTGACCCCTTGAATGAAGGTTTAATGCTGTTCCTGTCAAAATAACACTCTCAGAGTTTCCCTGGGAGTCTTTCTCAGCTCTGTTTTGATAGATTGCTGCTGTGGGAGCATCGCATTATGTGTGTTTATAACAGTTTCTGTTTAGAGGGAGTGTGCCGTAACTCCTGGCATGTGTAAGGACAGGTTTCCACACGTGGGGTTATACATTGCTGTTCCTTTTTTCACCTTCTTGGAAAATGTATTCAGCGCAACATAAAAAACAAACAAAAGAAAACACATCATTGTGTTTTTTCATGTCAAAAGCAGTTCCTCGGGCCCCTCTGTGATCAAGCATTGCTCTTGAATGCGTGAGAAGATGTTTCTCTACGTTGACCCTGAACCTCAGGTGCAGAGCAGCTGCACTCTGAAGGAATTTCTTCATGCCCGCCGGAGGGTCACACAATAATTTGTATAATTCACGGCTGAACTTGAGATTGGACTCAGGAGAAGCTTGCAGGCAGGCTGCCTCTGGATGCCTCCGTTTCTACTTATCTGAAGATTCTCATCTGCTCAGCCTCTGGACACATTCTGTCCTCAGCTTTTAGAAATACTATTCAGCAACCTCCTCTTCCCGATCCTATTCAAAAACCAGAAAAAGACCACTTTATTGGTCGCACTAAAGCAAAATTAAACTTTTGCTTTAAATTTAGCTTTAAAAGAAAAGTTTTTTATTTGGCAGATGGAGCTTAACTAATTCAAATTTTTTTGTCCTGTAACCTTAATTTGTGCATAATCTCCACCCTCTGGCTGTGATCTCTGCAGCCGCTCCCACATAAATGTCAAACAGCTCATCACACAGATACAGACAAGACTGCTGGTGCTGCAGGAAAGCCTTCAGCCAGAGGTATTTATGTTTGTGAGATCCGATCCTTGCTGCTTTGACTTACTGCTCCCCTGCAAACCCATAAGAAACACTGGTCTGATCCGGATTTTCTGTACCTGGAATGCAATGGATAATTTTTTTTAGCATGTTTTACTCAAACAGTAAAATGTTGAAAATGTCTCTTTAAAGGAGAAGAAAAGAACATAAAAATAATTAACAGAAGACGCATCTGGATGTTACAGATGCCTGCAGAAGCCCTGTAATGCTAAGCTTACTCAGTCTCTAGACTTTTCAGAGTTATAATTATTTTGTTCTGGATTCATAAACACTGGGGGGGAAAAAACACATGGTACATAACACACCACAGAACTGTATCCACACGTTGAAGCAGTCTTAAGGTGCAGCGTCCTTTAAGATTAATTTATCTGAAGACTGAAGCTGATATGTGTGACCCTGAGTAGGAAAATATGAATAATGAATAACCAATGACCAATGAATAAACCGTGATGGCATTTGAATCTTGCATTGGATTGGTAACCGTAGTGATGAGAAATTAAAACTATTCACCTTTAATGGAAAGAAACATCCAACGTGACCAAACTCACCATGAATGGCCGTCTGCTGTGACGGCTGCTGCTTTGGGTCCTGAGCAGTACGAGTCACAGAAAGATACAGCAAACAAAAACCAAAGGAATGTGAGTACTTATGTGAAAGAAAGAAGGAACACATCGATGTCAGTAACGGCAAAAGGAGCAAAAAGTAGAGAAGCACAACTGGAAGCAGATCATTAAGCTAGGATTGCTGTCTATATAAAAGAGAAGCAAAAAGCAACCTCAAAATAATAGAAGCAAAATCCGTGTCTGTGGCTTTATTCAGGAAGAAAACACAGCCAAGCTTATATATTATCTTTGGGCGAAAGGAGTACTTTCAGTGAGAAAGAAAGAAAAACACTTTGAGAACAGAGTAAATGGCAGCATTAGATCGATCAATGGCTTCATCCTGGAAATTGGAGGTTTAAACAAAGCAATAAGCTTGTTAAACTTTCTATGAGAAATAAACAATAAAACAAAGACTACCAGGAAGATCTTTGTGATTTCATTAAAATATAATTTTATTTTTTTATATAAAAAGTAAAGCAGAGGTGGATCAAAATAAAAAAACATGGAGGCTGCATGGTGAGCTGAAATGTGTTTAGGGATGCACCGATCCACTTTTTGCACCTCCGATACCATACCGATATTTGAAGTTTCCCTTTAAAAAAAAAGAAAATAGGAAACAACCCAAATATAAATGTTTTGACTCATTTATTTAACAACTTTGCACAAAATCTTAAACCAAAAGTTCTCTGACTTGGTCAACATGTAAAACAAGAGTCATTATCAAGTGTCATCTCTGTGATTTTTTTTTGGCCTGTATACTGTTACGTGGAAAAATTTCACTTCTTTCCTTTGCTTCCATCAAAGTTAGCTGCTTCCTGCTGCTTCGTTTATGTATGCCGAGTCCAATAATCTCAGCATGTTCCTTGTTATGAAACTTCTGAAGGTGTTTCATTGAATTGGTGGTGTTATAGTTTGACGATATAACACCACCCCTCGGAACATTTCTCCCACAAATATTGCACGTAGCCATTGGGCTAGTAGGCTGAGAGAGCGTGAAAAACCACACCGCAAACGCTTTTGCTCGCTCCATCATAAACAATATGGCCGTGTTGTGTTGTTGCGCTGCCGCATGATGGCAGAGCATAGCATAGAGTTAGAATGAATAGATCGGCCCCTATATTGAGTCAATTGTCCCGATACTGATCTAGTTTTTTTTTATCTATATCTGGAGCGATGTTGATAAAAATATCGGATCAGTGCATCCCTAAATGTGTTGATGCTGATGATAAAAAAAAAAAACAACAACCTTACAGGCAGGTAGGAGAAAGTGTGAGGAAATGGTAATGGAAGGAACCAGCAGAGAACAATAAGAAAAAGAGAAATTTGATACTCAGGCAGGGGAGGAAAAATAAGAGAGATTTAGAAAAGAAAATTAGAAGATGAAATCAGAAAAGGAGCAGCAGCTGAGGCTAAGTGAATGCAGGGCAGCTGACGGTGGGGACTAATTAACACAGAATATACATGAGCATAAAAATTAAACAGGAAGATCTCTAAATGTACTACACCTTCAGATCCTGGTGGTTTAGAAAACTAAACTCAGACTTCCAGGCCTTATCTCTGCACTGCTATCCATTGTGGTGTGTATATAAGTTTTCTTCCTGCTGTCTTCCTCCAGTTCACGAGGATGCTGATTTTATCCACTTCTAGCGCAAATATTTGCTCAGATCTTTGCCAACAGAATGACTATAATCAAGCTTAAGCCGCCATTGTTTACTCGTGGCCTTGCTCTCTTCATTCTGCCCTGTATACTTTAGTTTGCTGACATCTGTCGATTACAGAACAATGCGCCATTGAGATGGTAGAAAGACCTTTTTGTTTAAATGGTTCCATTTAATTAGATTGGTTTAAGATTTTCCATATGAGCTCTATCTTAAGTCTTGTGTTTATTTTCATTGCTGTATAATGTGAACCATCGGTTTAGGTTTACGCCGCCACATCCTGTAAAGAACAATTTAAATGTTAACATCCTCCTTGTCTTCTACTTGGATGAACAGCCCCCCCCCCCCCCCCCCCCCCCCCCCCATTTATAAAATGTTTTTAATTGCTTCTCATATAGAAGGGGAAATGAGACCCAGACAGTCCTGCGGATGTCAGAGCAGCCATCAAAATGATAGCGTCCTCATCCCTGTCCTGTTTTATGCCTTGACTCTTTTTTTTTTTTTTTTTCAGGGAAACCATTGAGTAATCGTCCCGTGAGGCTACCTGGACAGGTATTACATGCTGCGCTGCAGGAGTGGGAGTTCAACGAGCTTCAGAGCCAGAACCCAGGACAGCCTCTGTATTGCCACGGGGTCTTTGATGCCATTACAGCGGGTGAGGTCCAAATGAAGTGCTGCACAAAAAAACAACAACAAAAAGAAACCGTTTATATCTGTTTTTTAAATACAAAGCGCATTACTTCCTGAGTCATGTTGTGCGTCCAGATGAGAAGCAGACAGTTCTGGTGTTCCGGGGCAGCCGGTTTTGGACGGTATCATCTAAAGGCAGCGTGAGCGGACCGTTCATCCTCCGCCAGCGCTGGCCTGGACTCCCTGAGGCCATAGAGGCTGCTGCTTTTTCCCCTTTGGACTCCAAGTGGTATTTTTTCAAAGGTGCTGCTCCACTGAGCTGCTTAATTGGACTCATACTTTTCTAACCTTCACATATGTGATAGAATTTCAAAAATAGATTCTTGTGGGCCCATTTATGGAATAAAATGCTATTTAAAGAACACTCTGCTGAGGCTTCAGCTGAGGATCTTAATTAGCGTCTCCTTTGTGCTAAAGGCTATTCAAGTGTTTGAAGCTTTAAAATGTTGCTCAATGAGCCAAAGACCTGCCTCATCAGAGTTCTTTCATCTACAATATCACAAATTAGGCTTTCTTTCACAACTGAAGCTCTCTCAATGCACAATTCATAATATTATGTAGTACATTGTTTCTCCACTTAATAGTTTCATTGACTTGTGGAGTTTTTTTATGTGCCTTAAACATTTTATTTAATTTTCTTATAAGAATAAACCGACTCAATTCACTGGGTTCTTGTGTGAAAGACCCGTGTTAAGTATCATATGAAGACCGGGGAAAGAAAATCATACATTGTTTTCCAGAACATTTCTACAGTTAAAAATCTGAAAAGTGCAGCATGCATTTGTATTAAACCTCTTTCAGTAAATAATTATGTTTCCATCACCTTTTTCTAATTCCCATTTTGAAGTATAGTATCAGAAAAGCTTGATGAAAATGGCAAAATTAGAAAGAAAACTCTATCAAATGCTCAAAAAAGTTTTTTTGGCATTGGTGAAAAAAGGGTTGATGCACAAAACTAGAGCTGGAAACACTTTTTTGGGAATCAGCTCTGAAGTAGCGAACTTTTACTCACATGACCAATCAGCTGTTTCCCAGATCTTCTTATGCACGTAAACAAGGCTGGAAGCAACATCGCCATCACTAACTGACACGTTAACCTAAGAACTACTTCCACGATCGCAATACATTAATTAAAACTTTCCTCCATTACTGATCATTGGTCAGTGCTAGATTTCAGCTTTTACTTCCTGTTTCCTACAGCCATGCATGACGATGTAATATGGACAACGACATATGACACATTATAACTTACGGTGCTTGGTTAATTTGCTTAAAACCAAATGGAAACGCTGCAAATTCGCATTTCTTTTTTTCAGAAACTTTAAAAGTTTAAAAGAAACTAACATTTCAGTTGAATGGAAACACTGCTAATGAGACGCAAATGTTTGTTTATTTACTCTAAATAGCTCAGATTCAGTCAGATATAATGAATGATCACTGAATAAGGAAATTAAAATTGTTTCTAATGATACGTTGTGGTCCAATATGAAAAAGAGATGTACCAATTACACATTAAAACCAGAATTATTTATTTTTTGTTGTATTTAGTGCATAAGTTGCACAATAAAAACGTTTTCTTCAAGTTTTTTCAAATTTTGCATCTTTAGGTTAAGTTTACTGGCTTAATCTAACTTTAATATGCTTTAATTTAAACCACTGGATTATAGGTTTCGATTATTGTCCTGTTTAAAGTCAAACCTCCATCCCTGTCTCAAGTCCATGTCTTCCTCTGACAGGTCAACTCTTTTTGTATTTAACTCCAACAATGTTGCCAGCTTTGACCAGCTCCTCTGTTCTTGCTGAAGAAGAGCATTCCCCCAGCATGATGCCTATGCCACCATGTTTTATTATGGGGTCGTGTTCAGATCAATTTACAGTGTTACTGCACCGCTCAAATCTTAACCTGCTTTTAAACTCCCACCTTTCTCTATGACCCGTCTGTTGTCCTCATAGATTTTCATGGTTATATAATATGGAGGACCAAGAGAGTCATTTAAAAAATCTTAACATTTAAATAATTAGAAATCCAATTTGAAAAGCGGTTTCCTTTTGTTGATTTTAAATTGAAATACTAAAGAGAAATTATATTCATCCATCTATTCGTAAATGATGCAAATTCTAATAGTATTTTAAAATACTAATCCGAAATGGCGATTTTAAAAGCCTATATTAATAAACCTGATTATAAATACCCTTTCTAATCACACATTTTAGAAGGTAAATCATTACTTCGTTCTCATTATATTCTTCACCTTGCATTTTCAATCCACCTTACAGTTCTCATTGGTTAGTTCACCAAATGACCAATGATGGAGCTGGTTACATCTGAGGAGCAACTGTGATTGGTTAAACTGGTTTTCAGTGTGCTGAGGGACCAGACGGGTCATGGAAAAGGTAAATGGACGAGGTGAAATAAAAAGAAAATTAAACTTCTAAAAAGATTTGAAAATAGAAGGTGAAAATAAAAATGGAATAAGAAATTATCTTTTTAAATGTGTGATTAGGAAAGGTATTTCTTATCAGATAAATACATGGGTTTTAGATATTTATTTAGAAATAGGGTGAAAATACATTTGCAAATTGAATTATTTAATAAAGATTAATAAATACGATTTACAATTCCTCTTTAATAGTTCGATTTCGTCTCGTCGTCTCCCGCTTTATCCGGAACCGGGTCGCGGGGGCAGCAGACTAAGCAGAGACTCCCAGACTTCCCTCTCCGCAGACACCTCCTCCAGCTCTGTTGGGGGAAGCCCTAGGCGCTCCCAGGCCAGCCGAGAGACATAGTCTCTCCAGCGTGTCCTGGGCCGTCCCCTGGGCCTCCCCCTGGTGGGACATGCCTGGAACACCTCCCGAGGGAGGCGTCCAGGGGGCATCCGAAGAAGATGTCCGAGCCACCTCAACTGACTCCTCTCGATGTGGAGGAGAACCGGCTCTACACTGAGCCTCTTCCGAATGACCGAGCTCCTCACCCTATCTCTAAGGGAGAGCCCAGCCACCCTGCGGAGAAAGCTCATTTCAGCCGCTTGTATCCGGGATCTCGTTCTTTCGGTCATGATCCAAATTTCATGACCATAGGTGAGGGTAGGAACGTAGACCGACCGGTAAATTGAGAGCTTTGCCTTTTCGCTCAGCTCTCCCTTCACCAGGACAGACCGGTGCAGCGTCCGCATTATTGCAGCAGCCGCACCGATCCGTCTATCGATCTCCCGCTCCATTCTTCCCTCACTCGTGAACAGGACCCCAAGATACTTGAACTCCTCCACTTGAGGCAAGGACTCCCCTCCAACCCGAAGGGGACATGCCACTTTTTTCTGGTCGAGAACCATGGCCTCGGATTTGGAGGAGCTGATTCTCATCTCAGCCGCTTCACACTCGGCTGCGAACCGCCCCAGCGCACGCTGTAGGTCTTGGCAGGAGGGAGCCAGCAGAACTACGTCATCCGCAAAAAGCAGGGACGAGATCCGCTGTTCCCCAAACCAGACCCCCTCCGGTCCTTGGCTGCACCTAGAAATCCTGTCCATAAAAGTTATGAACAGGACCGGTGACAGAGGGCAGCCCTGTCGGAGTCCAACATGCACCGGGAACAGGTCCGACTTAATGCCGGCAATGCGAACCAGACTCCTGCTCCGCTTGTACAGAGAACGGATGGCCCCTAATAAAGGGCCCCCGACTCCATACTCCTGGAGCACCCCCCACAGGGCAGCACGAGGGACACGGTCGAATGCCTTCTCCAAGTCCACAAAACACATGTGGACTGGTTGGGCAAACTCCCATGAACCCTCAAGCACCCTGCAGAGGGTGTAGAGCTGGTCCACCGTTCCACGGCCAGGACGAAAACCACACTGCTCCTCCTGCAGCCGAGGTTCGACAATCAGCCGGACTCTCCTCTCCAGCACCCTGGCATAGGCCTTTCCGGGGAGGCTGAGAAGTGTGATTCCCCGATAGTTGGAACACACCCTCCGGTCCCCCTTCTTGTGGAGGGGAACCACCACCCCAGTCTGCCAATCCAGGGGAACTGTCCCCGACCTCCACGCGATGTTGAAGAGACGTGTCAACCATGACAGCCCGACAACATCCAGAGCTCTGAGATACTCAGGACGGATCTCATCCACCCCCGAAGCCTTGCCACCGTGGAGTTTTTTGACTACCTCGGTGACTTCAGCCCGGGTGATGGACGAACCCAGCCCCAAGCACCTCGTCTCTTCTTCCCCCACAGAAGGCATGTCTGTCGGGTTGAGGAGATCCTCTAAGTATTCCTTCCACCGCCCGACAATATCCTCCTTCAAGGTCAGCAGCTCCCCACACCCACTAAAAACAGTGTTAGTGAAGCACTGCTTTCCCCTCCGGAGGCGCCGGACGGTTTGCCAGAATCGCTTTGAGGCCAACCGATAGTCTTTTTCCATGGCCTCTCCGAACTCCTCCCAGGCCCGAGATTTTGCCTCTGCAACCGCCCGGGCCGCGACACGTTTGGCCTCACGGTACCTGCTTGCTGCTTCAGGAGTCCCACAAGCCAGCCAGGCTTGATAGGACTCCTTCTTCAGCTTGACGGCATCCCTTACTATCGGTGTCCACCACCGGGTTCGGGGATTGCCACCACGACAGGCACCGCAAACCTTATGGCCACAGCTACGGGCAGCCGCATCGACAATAGAGGCAGAGAACACAGCCCATTCGGACTCCATGTCTCCAACCTCCCTCGGAACCTGAGAGAAGCTCTCCCGGAGGTGGGAGTTGAACACGTCTCTGACCGAGGGCTCCACCAGACGTTCCCAGCAGACCCTCACTACACGTTTGGGCCTGCCGAGTCTTTCAGGCTTCCTCCTCTTCCAGCGTATCCAACTCACCACCAGGTGGTGGTCGGTGGACAGCTCCGCCCCTCTCTTCACCCGAGTGTCCAAGACATGCGGCCGAAGATCAGAAGATACGACTACAAAGTCGATCATCGACCTTCGGCCTAGGGTGTCCTGGTGCCAAGTGCACCGATGGACATCCTTATGCCTGAACATGGTGTTCATTATGGACAATCCGTGACTTGCACAGAAGTCCAATAATGAGACACCACTCGGGTTCAGAGCTGGGGGCCCGTTCCTCCCGATCACGCCCCTCCAGGTGTCACTATCGTTTCCCACGTGGGCGTTGAAGTCTCCCAGCAGAATGATGGAATCCCCGGGAGGGGCGCTTTCTAACACCCTCCCCAGGGATGCTAAGAAGGCCTGGTACTCCGTACTGCCGTTCGGCCCATAGGCCGAAACAACTGTCAGAGTCCTCCCTTCAATAGTTCGATTTAAAATGTATAAATGCTTATCAAACTGGATCTCTAATTGTAGGATTTAAATGTTAAATTTGAAATTGCTGTTTTTCATGTAATTTAGCAACTGTCCTTATCCTTCATAATATCTACCTTCTCAAGCCAGGTACAATATGTGCATTTTATTCTGGCTAATCGGAGTGTAGGAGGTTGAAAATAATGACATATGTTTTTTAACCTGGTGTATGAAATCTCATCAAAGTATAGAAAGCGTCCATCTCTTGACAGGAGAAAGACGTTACTGTGTAATAAGCATGAGGACAAAAACTCTCTCAGTGACTGTCATGAACTGATTCCTTTGTCTGTTGTCCTGCAGGAAAGCGGATGTGGCGTTACACAGGCACAGGGCTGGACCCAGGGTTCCCCAGGAAGAACAAAGAGCTGGGTCTGCCTCGACGCCCAGACTGTGCTTTCTACTATGCCCCTCTGGGTCATTTGGTGCTCTTCAAAGGTTCCCGCTACTTTGTGCTCAACCTTAAAACTTTGCGCCCAGAGGCCTACTATCCTCGCAGGCTAAAAGATTGGACTGGACTGCCGCAGGGCATCAACGGGGCGCTGACCCGTCCAGACGGGCGGCTTTACCTCTTCAAAGAGCAACGGTTCTGGAGGTTTGACCCCGTGAAGGTGCGGGTCACCAGAGAGGGCCAATGGGCTAAAGATCTAAGCTGGACCGGCTGCAGCAATAGTCCTCAGAGTAATAACATGCTTTGACCAGCAGGGGGAGCCTTAACATTAAAAGTGCAATTTGTTTACATACAGTTTCACATAAAGGGAAGGGTCCTGCACTTTTTCAACTGGATCCTGACTGACACTAGTGTGATACCGATCCAAAACCAGAGGTCCATTTCATGAAGCAGGTTTACAGAAAACTCTAAGTTTTGTAAACCTGAAACTCTGACTTTTCTGGTTCACAAATAGAGAGTTTATTCAACCTGTTTCTGTAAACTTAGTAACATTCTCCCCAGAACCTTATATTTTCTTTGTCTAAATGACCCTTTAAAACAAAATGATGAACAAAATTCTCCACATCTAGAATAAACATTCTGGGTGTCTTGAAATGAACTTCAGATCTCCATATTGCTAATATTACTGGTCAGTATTTTTATTTTAACTATGAAAAATTTGTTTTCAGATATCATAAATACATTTTCAGTCAAGCTGATAAATGTCAGAACGGGCAATTATAATGTGTTAACATTTCTAGATATATAAAACTAAATTCTTACTAGTATAATTTTTTTTCACTTTCTAAAATTCAGTTTCTGCTACACAAATGTAATTTATAAAACATATCATTACAGTTATGTCTAGGAGTGTGATTTTGATCAGAAAGAACCTTATTTTAGTGACCTACAAATGGAACAACAGAGAGGAGTGCTTTTAATAAATGTAAAAACGGCCTGCCATAGACCACTTTCATTTAAACTTACGCATTAACTCGAGCAACAATCTTCTCCTTCTACTTATTGTGCACACATTTAACTCTGAGTGGTTGTGGTTAAAATTGATTGAACTAATTGATAGCAGCTGTTGTAAAACCGAACACTCAGAGTTCCTGACTTTAGGCTAGATCAATTTAGAGTGGTGGATTTGAATCTGAGTTTGTTAAACCTCCTTCATGAAATGGATTCCAGAACAATACACCGTGTTTATACTACTGAAAGCATATTAAACAAAGAGGTAAACATTATCATCTAATCAATACAGCTTTGATGTGATACACCAAAAAAAGTTTAATTAGCATTAAAAAAGAAAAACTTTCCATAGGTTCTCTGTGGGACCTTTGACCTGCCAGTGTGCTTTTTTCCCATATAAAGTGGAAGCCCTAAAGCTTTCTATACTATGGGAACAAATATTAGCTTTCTCTTTATTTCTTCCCTAAATATCACACTGTGTGTAAGATTTGGTGTATTTAATTATTTCATGTCATTAGCCTTTGTGCAATAAGAGAGCATGTGATGAAGCAGTTATTTGTGATTTATTTTATTTGTGGCAGACATAGATGTTTCACAGCTTCATCAACTAAGGTAAGAATATTTAGACACAAGTGCTAAAAGATAAGAACAAACTTGCTGTAAAACATTTAAGTAATCGATGTGCAGATGAACTAAATGTGATGTAACCTGATCACGAAGCATTTGACCCTGATGGGCCACCGTATCACAGAGCTATAAGATGAGGCGGTTAGTGTTTTATATAAATATCTGATAAATTAGGTTGTAACAGTATTGATGCCAAGTAAAATTCCGGACCAACACATGTCTGACTTACAGACATACAATAATTCAGACTGAACAGCTGCAGCTTGTTTCTAGATTCAGGTTCCAGTTGCACAGTACCTACAAATAAAATAAATGAAAATTTTTAAAGAGCTTAGAGCTAAAATAGCTGGATTTCTGATCACAGCTCTGATGTGTATTAATTTGAGACGACTGGATACACTTTTGATTTTTATTTTTTATATGAAAAAATATATTGTAATGCTTGGAGACATTGTAAATGTTTTAAGTTAAAGAAAGTTGCTTAAAATTAAATAAAGTTGCATTGTTAGTCTTCCCACATGAAACTTGAGCTTTTTAGTGTTTAAATAAAGAAAGGAGTGTGTGAATTTTCTTTTCCTGTCAAAACAACTATGGAGTTTTTATATTTTATATTAGTAATTAGCTATGTTAATATTAATAACTTAAAACAGGGTACATTATCCCAGTGATTTAGATCCTAAACTGCTTTTTTTCCTAGAAGACAGCATAATCCACAGGCTGAAACTAAAAAAACATAAAATAGAGCAGCCGTGCTGTTTGTTTTGTCGCTCTGTTATCTGAATTGGACATTTTCTCCAATATTATAGCAGAAAACTTCTATTTTTACCTGGAAAAGATGGTTATTAAAGTTTCAAAATGACTAAAAGTCAAAATCGACTGAATTAGCTTGTAATATAATTCCATAGAATATATTTTCCTTTTAAACAGCCTCTCAAAACAATTAATGCTTCATTTGATGTTTAAATGCTTTGCATCAAGTCCCCTTTCTGTTGCATCCACACTTAAGAGTGTTGATGTTTCCTTAACTTGGTAGCAGTTTGATATCATTATAGATCTGATTATGGAGCTTTTTTATTCATCCAAATATCGGTTCAGTATCTTCGTATCTCTTAACGAAAGGAGATTTTCACAAGGTTTTAAACTTTATTAGAAACATAAGTGGGTCATGTTCACAAGGACACGAGTGCATTTTAGTAAAAAAAAAAAAAAAAAGCTCCCTATTAAGTGTTTTAGACACGTTACAACTTAAGTAACCACTACGAACACATCCTCATGGAAGAAACATGTTTGCTGGCATAACATAGGAACAAAGTTATTTAATTTTACTTTGTCGACAAGCCTGTTAACCAATGCAGAACTTAATACTTTATATGGCTTAATCTGCAGTTTTCAGTCTCTCTAATCTATTGTAATACAGCATTTTAGCTTCTTCTGATTACAGGTATTTTAGAGCAAAAGGAGCAACAGTCATTGAAAGTGAATTTAATTCCAAGCAAATACCCGCTAAATTAAACTTTGAAACACATCTATAAGAGGAGCCTAACCAGGCATTTTCTTTTATTAATTTATAACGTGAAGCGCAGTAAAACCAGAAACGACATTATTGAACTAAATGAATACAATATACATCAAAGGGTTACAAAAGCTTTATCATTTAGATCAAATTAGTGTAATCTGGTACAACACAAAATAAGGTTATCTACACTTACCAATTTTTATTTACATGAATTCTTACCAGGAAGTTGCACCCACTAAGTTTTTCTTCCTAATAGATTTAAAATCCAGCGCAACCATAGTTCTGTTTTAGCCAAATATGGAAGCCACTTCATCATTCAACTCAGGTAAAACAAAGAGTACTAAGCTACAAGAAGTCTTCAGATGATTTGGACTTTAGAGTGATCTGTATATTTAAAAAATCTATTAAAAAAACAGTTGAGCTAAAAAACTATGAATTAAAAACTGAAATCTGCACCTTGGAAAAACATTCATGTTTGCACAACAACCACAAGCCTAAATTATTCTATTTTATGGAGATGTTATGCCTTAATCACAAAGTAGGGTTTAATAATCAAATAAAAGTAAAATTATACCTGTAAATGTAAATATACATTTAACAAATAAAAATGAAAAATCTGAGCTACTACAGACGTCTACAAAAAAATAAAGGCAGGATTTGGTGATAAAACAATTTTCTGAAGCTTTGAACCTCATAGAAATTCATTATCTTCATATGGAGAGATTATGGCACAACAGCAAACGAGGCAGGGGAAGCATTAATAGCAGAAACATCCATGAGGCCCTTGGTAACATCTGGAGGAGCTGCAGAGAGCCCTTCACAAATGGAAAAGGAGGAAGAAAAGAGAAAACCAGGTTTCTGGAAAAGTGTGCTCTGATCAAACTCTATTAGGAGGAAAGCTAACAAAACATCTTCATAGTAAAACATGATGATGGCAGCATTATCCTGAGGGAATGCTTTCCTGTACCACAGGGGTACTCAAGTCCAGTCCTTAAGACCTACCATCCTGTAAGTTTTAGATGCATCTCTTCTCTAACACACCTCAATCGACAGGCTCAATCTCCTCATTTAGCCCAGCAGAGGGATCGTAACGAGCCACTCATTTGATTCAGGTGTGTTAAAAATGGGGTGCATCAAAAAGTTGCAGGATAGTAGATCTTGAGGACCGGACTTGAGCACCCCTGCTCTACCAGGTCAGAGTAATTTATTTAAAAAATTGTCTTAAACAATTGGAATTTGTCTTCCATTTAACAATGATGCCCCACTTTATACAGGTCCATCCCTAACAAAAGGCATCCGAGTCTCTGCCTGTAATGAGCAGAAATGTACTGAATCTGAAGGTGTATGAATGTTTTGGTATGGCACTATTAATAAGTAACATCACTTTGATTTCTGAACTTCTATCAGAGCAATCAGGTCATTTAAAGGCTTCAGACTCCCCAGGCTTCGTTTATCAGGCTGAACCAATTTTTCCTGCATTTACCACCCCAGCTTATATAGAAGGAGTTCAGATAAAGAACTCATCCACTGGCTCCTCGTGGTTTCTGTGTGCTGATAAGAGTGTGGCAGTCGTCCGCTTCTCTGCCAAGTGCTTTTGTGATGGACTTTGTCCATTTTTAGTTGTACTGTTTACTACTTCTGCGTCTTTGAAGCCACCAGAGGGCGTCGGATCGTTCACGCCTCTCTGTGTCAAACCCTCAGTTAATTCTTTAGCCAGTTCTCCGACAGATAAAGGCCTGACTGCTGCAGGCCTCCCAGATCGATGAGTCCTTAGGAGGTCAGTGGAGGAGGAGCGAGTGACGCTTCTGACTGCTGTGTCTGAGTGTGCAGCCCCTGTGTCGACGTTGGTCTCCTCTTCCTCTTCTTCCAGGAGGAGACGGGAGAGAGACTGGGTGACGGAGGGGCGCAGGGGGGAGTCGGGGTGGTTGGAGGTGGACAGCTGAGCAGGGCTGCTGCGTTGGGATGAGTAACAAGAGCTTCCAGGAGGGGTGCTGCAGCAGCTCCCTGATCCCAGGCTTTCTGCTCCACCACATCCTCCAAGAAGCTTCTCAAGAAAAGGCTCGCTGCTTGGTCTGGTTCCTGAAAACAACCACACACACACACATCAAGAATGGTCGCTAAAAAAAGTCACAAAAAAACAAAAAATGTGTACAGTTGTATTCAGCCTATGAGGCTCTTATCTGTGAACGCTTCCAGGATTTGCTGTGAGAAATCTCTAAGCTGTAGGAAATTAACTAAAATGAGTCTGATCCATATTATTTCATACCTTGCCTGTAAGTTTGTCCATTAAGGGAAGATGTGAGGCTGTTTCCATGGCCGCTACTCGGGAGCTGCACTCCTTGAGGGGGCAAACAGGTGAGGGGAAAAGCGCAGGTCAGAGGTCGCTGAGGCTGAGCTGGAGTCTTCACCTGCAGCACAGAAGGAGAGGGGCAGCAATTAAATGCTCCATAACATTTTAGTGTTGAAAAAAATGCATTTAGTCTGATCAAAAAATCCTAATATTCGTCTCTTCTGGACCAATATTGTAAATATCCCCTATGCTACACATGATTTATCTTGTTAAAAGATTGTTCAAAGATTTTCCAACAAGCAAGCTTAAAGGGATAGTTCGGGATTATTGACATGAATCTGTATGGCATCCCCATCACCAGTGTCATGCAATCACACCGGCAGGTTTGCTAGACCCAGCGAAATAAAACGTTTCTCTTCCCAAAACATTATGTGTTCAAAAGAGCGATATTTTTGCATCCCAAAAACATTGTAGTGGAAAAAGTCACACGTCGTTATCACTTGGTCCTATTTTCTCTCTGTTCGTATCAGTGCGCGCGACACCATGACCTGACAGCTAGGGCCTACTAACCTGACAACAGCCAGATGCATGTCTGGCTGTTGTCTGGCTAACCCTAGCTAGGAGCTAGGCGGAGCGAGACATGCATCTGGCTGTTGTTGAGCTCGCTGTCAGAATGACGACGCGCACTGATACGAACAGAGAGAAAATAGGACCAAGTGATAACGACGTGTGACTTTTTCCACTACAATGTTTTTGGGATGCAAAAATATCACTCTTTTGAACACATAATGTTTTGGGAAGAGAAACGTTTTATTTCGCTGGGTCTAGCAAACCTGCCGGACTACTTTCGGCTTGACCAAAGCTGGACGAGAACTCTGCTCACAGGATGCTGCCAGGGGTAAGTCAGTGTGATTGCATGACACTGGTGATGGGGATGCCATACAGATTCATGTCAAAAATCCCGAACTATCCCTTTAAAAAAAAAATAAGGTGCAAAGAGTAAAATTAATTTTCTTTATTTCTCAACTTTAAAACCCCAAAAGTAAAATAAACAAGCTTAATTGACAAAATCTTAAATTCACACATAAAAGTGGGTTGAAGTTGGCTTCTGATTTAGAACTAAAGTAAATGGCTATTTCACAGATTTCTGGTCATCGTTACAGAAAAAAAGCAACTTTTTTCACATTTTTAAGAGTTAGGCTTCGATCTTTGCGAACGTTTTGGGTTTATTAAAATTTTCAATCCAATTCAGTTTGTTTATAAAGCGCAAATTCACAAAACATGTCATCTAAGGACACTTTATAGACAATACAGTCAGATAGGTCAAATGTTTCGGTGAAGGAAAACCAGTTTATAGCATTCAGTCATTGACTAGCAGGAGCCCAAAATCCAAATAAAAAAATCTAGAATTGGGGTTTTAGACCATAAAAAGTCAAACTTTAAAACATGACATCCTTAACTCACTTGGAAGAGAACCTTGTTACCATCTAGGTCTTCTGTCTGCCAGCGTGTGGAGCTGATGGGGGTGCAGGGGTTGGGCAACAGGGGGACCAGCTGTCCCATTTCTTCAACACTGAACTGCAGCACAGCGGAAGTGCATGCTTCCACTCCAACCCCTGGAGAAAGCTGCTTTAAGGCCAGCTGAAGGCACAGCCCAGGCTCTATGCAGTGAGGACAAAAGGGAGCAGTAGGCACACATGTGACGATGCAGCACACAACACTTTTTCAGTCAGGAGCTTAGTAGGAAAGATAAAAGTACATAAATCCAACCTGTATGGAGGGTGAACCAGCAGAAGCCCGCCTTTTGCTCCTCAGCTTGCAGCTGCAGGACAGTCTCATAACACCTCACAGCATCCTCATAGTTGTCGTAGCTGCTGTACAGCGTTATACGCAGGATTTCCCCTCCACAGTGCACAGGTCGCACCCCCCACACAGGCATGCCTAGGCCCAGACTGTAGAAGTCTCTGCTCGGCAGGAGGTAGGGCCGCAGCAGGGCGTTGGAAGGGGAACTACTTGAAGAAATGTGGATCCCTCCGGCTCGGCTGCCACAGCTCTCAGTGTGATGGTACTGCCAGGGGGGCCGCTGGAAGAAGTCCAGCACTTTGAGGATTCGCTCCTCTCCGTAGGCCTCATGGAGGAAAAAGGTGATGGCCAGAGAGGGGTAACCTAAAGATTTAAAGCAAAGGTTTGATTTTACTCAATTTAAGGGAAATCATGCTATCATGCTAAATGGGCCATGATTAAACAGAAATAAAAGCTGATTTCTATTCAGACAGGACTATAAAAAAAACTTCACCAGCCACCGGACAGATGCGGGAGGGAACTCTGAAAGGGGAGGCCCTCTCTGATACGTGGAAGATACGGAGGCTTGGGCAAAGCCAGCGCAGCAGGCGGTCCAATGTCTGCTGCAGGAGTAAGGAATCTCCAGGGTTGGCGAGCAGATGTAGGTGGATCGGCAATAATGGCTGCCGCTGCTGCCGGGCCAGTCTACCTATGAACTCACCTCGGGTCAAAAAACAAACACAAAAAGTAAATCTTAAGCACACCTTATCATTTTTTTTATGCAGGAAGAACTGTGTAGATTCAGCATATTGTTGTCTAGTATTATTTTTGACTAGAATAAACCTCCTAAAAGTTAGGAAAACTATAAATATACAAAGAAACACTCATGCATAGCTTTATAAGTAATAACTATATAAATAAAATAAAACTCACTGGCAGATGATGACATTTGGCTGATGACAGACCTGAAGTATAAATGGAAACAAGAAAACATATTTTAATTTTGTAGGTTTAAATAAAATACACAAAATTAAACAAATACATGGACTGATAGATGGATAATATTGCAAATAAAAAAAATATACAAACCTGAAACTGAAAACATTTATGCTACCCTAAGCGTTATTGCCTGCTTAGTTTTCAAAGATGGCTCAGAAAAGGCTCAGAGTCTTTGGTTTTGTAGAAAGAACTACAATAAGACAGCAATAGAAGCTCAGTATCAAACACAAGCCATTTAAAGCAAAACACTATCAAGAAAAAACATTTAAACAAACTAAGAAGTTAATAGGATATTAAAATTAAAACTGTAAAATTAAGGTGAACTTATATTGACTCAAGATCAGGAAAAAATAAAATATAGGTATATATATCGATGGATAATAGTATAAAAAATAACCTCATAAATAGCAACTTCAGTTTCAAAAAAAAAAAAAAACATAGCCAGTAATAAAACCATTAATTCTAGTACTACTATCTGATATTATGTTTCCCACCCCATGCATGAAGCTGTTGTAGACTGCTACCCCCTAAATGCACCAGGGCAGGGAGCCTTATCAGAGATCCTTCCTCCCAGCAGCTGTAAGATTCTATAACCACCACTGTTCCCAACATCCTCAATAAGTTGTTACATTCATGTTGATTTTGCACAGTCTCTACCATAGTCACTTAAATAACATGCTGCTGTCATTTTGCACATCTCTGGTGTTGCTGCTATTTTCAAATATCCATTACTGTAAAAATTTGCATAGCTGCATATTCTTTATTTATTCTCCAGGTGCAGTTTTTATATTGTTAAAACTAGTGTTGCGCCGATGTCATTTTTTTGCTCCGATACCTGGCTGTGCAGTATTGACTGATACCATACAATACCGATACCATCTGTTTGAAATTGATGTGTGTGTGTATATTAGCCTGATAAACCAGACTAAATGTGAGATCAAATGTGTAATCTAGTTTGGCCCCGATGAATCAGACATTGGAAGACTGTTGATGAGAACTCGTTTTTCAAACCATGTCTGTGCCTATTGGCCAACGCTCTGACCAATGAGTGCAACTGACTGTGACGTAGTAAGCACGACATAAAGCTGGTGGGGGAGTGGAAACAAACAGCCTGTCGGTAAAACAGCGACGTCCTTCTCAAAAATGAATGAGAGCCTCTTCCTGCTCACGATAACCCAAAGTCTAATTCTTCCAAAACTGATTCCAAAGCTGAGTCAAAGTAAAACTGTTCAATAGTTGTTGCCATCTTCCTTGTTGTGCTTTCTCCAGCGTCACGCAGCTTTGTCGTTATGCACTCAAAACCCCGCCCGCTTTGCATCCCAAAAATTTTTAAACACATCTCTGCGTTGTGATTGGCCAGCCAGTTCTAGGGCCTGGGGCGTTGATCGAGGCTAGACCAAACTCGATTTTGGCCGCTGGCGGGAGGGGCCAGTTTACTAGGCTATGTGTATATATGAAGAACTGCGTACTACTTGGATGTAAAATAATTGCCATCATGGCTTTGTCAAGCTGCTGCCTACCTTTGTGAAGCAGGAAAAAGACTAATACAAACTAATCCAGTAGAACATTTGAATGCCTACCTGCAATAGGTGACAATAGTTGAATAAACTTTTGGCTCTCAAAATGGTATTGGTGCAACACTATATATAAATCATATATATATATAAATCATATATATATATAAATCATATATATATATATATATATATATAAATCATATATATATATAAATCATATATATATATATATATATATATATATATATATATATATATATATATATATATATATATATATATATATATATATAAATCATATATATATATATATATATATATATATATATATATATATATAAATCATATATATATATATATATATATATATATATATATATATATATATATATATATATATATATATATATATATATATATATATGATTTATATATATATATATATATATATATATATATATATATATATATATATATATATATATATATATATATATATATATAAATCATATATAAATCATATATATATATATATATATATAAATCATATATAAATCATATATATATATAAATCATATATAAATCATATATATATATATATATATAAATCATATATAAATCATATATATATATAAATCATATATAAATCATATATATATATATATATATATATATATATATATATATATATATATATATATATAAATCATATATATATATATATAAATCATATATATATATATATATAAATCATATATATATATAAATCATATATATATATATATATAAATCATATATATATATAAATCATATATATATATAAATCATATATATATATATATATATATAAATCATATATATATATATATATATATATAAATCATATATATATATATATATATATATAAATCATATATATATATATATAAATCATATATATATATATATAAATCATATATATATATATAAATCATATATATATATATAAATCATATATATATATATATATAAATCATATATATATATATATATAAATCATATATATATATATATATAAATCATATATATATATATATATAAATCATATATATATATATATAAATCATATATATATATATATAAATCATATATATATATATATAAATCATATATATATATATATAAATCATATATATATATATATAAATCATATATATATATATATAAATCATATATATATATATATAAATCATATATATATATATATATAAATCATATATATATATATAAATCATATATATATATATATAAATCATATATATATATATATAAATCATATATATATATATATATATAAATCATATATATATATATATAAATCATATATATATATATATAAATCATATATATATATATATAAATCATATATATATATATATAAATCATATATATATATAAATCATATATATATATAAATCATATATATATATAAATCATATATATATATAAATCATATATATATATAAATCATATATATATAAATCATATATATATATATAAATCATATATATATATATATAAATCATATATATATATATAAATCATATATATATATATAAATATATAAATCATATATATAAAAATCAGTATGAAAAATAAGTTTTACTTCATACCCCTTTTCAGACAATTTACAATAATCAGTGTCTTTTCTCTGGCTGTATATACAGGTTTAGGGTGAATTTAGTTAGTTTGGAAATTGGTGTTTGGTTTGGTTGCTGTTAACTAGTCTTTTTTTATGTATTTGGTTGTCTGAAATTGTCTAAAATACATTTCTATTCACTCATTTATTCAAAGTCCAGCACAACTTAAAAATCAACTCACAACTTTTGGCTCTTAAAATGGTATCGGTAAATATATACACACACACACACACACACACACACACACACACACACACACACACACACACACACACACACACACACACACATACACACATACACACATACATACATACATACATATATATATATACATATACATATACATATACATATATATATATATACACACATATATATACAGTAATATAAACATATGAAGTACTTATTTACAGTTCTAACATTTTTTTTTGCTGCTGTAAACACCAGAATTTCTCCATTGTTGGACAATAACTCCTATTCTATGCTAATAGCATGTGTAATGAAATAGTATCGAAGCCAAACATGAAGATTTGTCGCCATCTTGTGACATCACTTTGGAAACCTGCCCGCTGCTGCGGTCACCATGACAACATTTTATCTGTTGTTAGCTCGGTAGAGCTGGGTGGGAAAAAAGTGAAATTAAAAGACAAAACAACACTAAAAGTACTAAAACAAGTTTTAACAAAGAATACTTAGCTACATCCTTTAGATTTCATACCAGTTAAGCGTATTTTTCGGCCTGAATTAATCGCTTGTCCGTTAAAAACAGCGAAGTTGTTCGGCTACACGTTTAGCCTGGAGCTAAATGAGATACTCACTCCGCTGTGTCAGCTCCGGAGTCCACGTTCTCATCCCCGGCTCGCCGCCACATCTTCAGCTCAGCTCTCCTACATTTCAGCTCCTTTCTTGTGGTTTAGATTATTCTTTTCCCAATAAACCGACTCAGGAGTGTTAAACATCCTGATTTGTTTCCGCAGCCTTCCAAAGCTGGGGGGAAAAACGACAGAGACTGGGATCTTACTGGGACACTGACGTCACTAGGCAACCACAACACGGTTAAAATGTTAAAACGAAGTGATTTACTTACCGTAAAACTCTACAACGCGGGAGAGTTGAGGTGAAATACGGGCTGCGGTTTGTTTATGGAGTAAATTCTGGGTGAAAGGGAGAACAAGGAGAGGCGAGAAAAAATCCGTCCATAATAATGATAAGAGAGAGCAGATGGCATGAGGGACAAAGGAGACAGCAGACGGTCAGGGCAGATTTAAATGAGTCAGGGACGAACTGACAGGAGGCTCTTAACGCTGGAAATATAAGACTTTGTTAAGAGCATTAAACCTGTAAAAATAAAGTGACATGCATATTGACAGATACAATAAAGGCGATTTAATCTGCAATTTTAGATAGTGGTCACAAATCCTGCAATATAATCTGAAATCTGCACTTTTTTTATCTATAAAAATTTTTTCACTTATTTTAGTCTTTGTTAGACAAGGTGTTACATTTCTATAATAATTATGCGAGAAAATAAAAGTATCTTACTGCATGCAGAGGCGTAGCTAGAATGTTTTTATAAGGGTGGCCAGGCAATAACCAATGTATTATATTACATTTACAATTATATATATTGTATGAAATTTTGTTATATCAAACTGGTTCTATAGTCACTCTATTACAGATGGAGTTATGTAACAAAAGTAATTTCTCCCTGAGATTATTAAAGTATTTGTGATTCTGATTCCCGGTTGATGGGACAGGTGTTGTGAAACGGTGCCCAGATTGAAAGAGCTCCTGTGTGTTGCTGAATGTGTGCATTGATGACTGAAAGACATCTTCTGCCTCCATTTATCCGTTTACTACAGTGTTTTGAATTCATGTTAATGTGTATTTAAAGACATTTCAATTAGTGGAAAAATATTGCAGAGGGGAATATAAAAAAAAACAGCCTAATCAACCAAAAGTTTTGCAACCCCCATGCAGTACCTCTGTGGACCCCCTGTTGAAGACCTCCGCATTAAGGGATTAAGTTGTTGAGAAGTTAGAAGTTGATTACAATCCTTTTGTATGTGTTATAATAAGGTATCCCAGCCTTCACTTACAGGGACTTTTTAATCCATCATCTGAGGATAGATGGGAAATTTGTGCAACTGACAGTCCCGTTTTCAGCTTCTGGGTCAACATTGAAAGTTTGGAAAGTAAAGTTTAAGTCTTTAGTACAAAGGTACCCTTTCATGGTATAGAAAAAAAAAAAAAAGTTTAGCCATAAGATTTAAAAGAGCAAAAAAAAGAAGCTTGACATGTTCTAAATATTCTGGTCTTGCTGGCTCCCAATGTTTGTTTTACAATTCTTGTTTTCAATCAGAAGGGAAAACTGTATATCCCGATATCTTAAATTATGGCTTAAGTCTGAAAATTATACAGACCTGAAAGAGTTCACTGCCACATTCATACACACTGGGAAAAAAAAAAAAGTAAAGCGATGTAAAATGGCTTCAGCTGCACTAAACATTTTAACTATTCCCCATTTTAATTCAGCGTTGGATTGAAAGCTGTTTTTCTGAACGTACAAGTTCATGTTTACAAAAAACTTGTGGTATGGTTCAGATTTTAATGAGGAAAAACAACTATATGGTGACTAAAAGACAAAGCACTTATGTTTAAATATGATATTTTTACTACTATTAAACTGACTAGAACAAATTCACTCATTTTTTCAAGGAGCAAAAAAATGGAATTGCTAATTTATGAAGCTACAAGCAAAACTCAAAACACCTGTCATATTTGGCCTTTTAGTTCTGATAAACTTTGTCTTATATCTTCTGAGATGTCAAAAGCTCAAGATATAGGGCAACTGTGGGTTTCTTTAAATGTTTAAACACCATGTTTACTGTCATGTTTTAAACACAGACTTTAAGCTGTTTGTGAAAATAGGATCCCATAATTGCTTGTGGTTTAAACATCACAAGCTGAATCCCATACAGCTTAAATTGTTTGAATACATCTCCAAATCTTATTTACAATATTTACCCACTCCAGCTGAGAACATGTAGCATTAGATTCCCTGCAGTTTTCCTGAAATTCAGAAAACAGAAATTTTATTTTTTATTTTTTGTAATCCTACATTTATTATGATGAAAACAAGGCCCTGTACAATCCACCTTCGCAGAGTACAATTATTATTTTACAATTTGTACACATTTTGTACGCATGGTGCGTGACTGGTTCCACCTGTTCAAAATGCATCTGAGAAGAAAAAATAAAATATTGGAAACCTTCACCAGCACTAGCCTTCCATTAGAGATCGTTTGGCTGATCATAAAAAGAAAGAAATAAAAAAATGTGCCATGAGTATCCAGGCGTTTGTTGACTTTTAGGCGTTTCATTCCGTCTGATGGCGCCATGACGATAATATGCTGTTCATCTCTACTCACCAGTGCAGGCTTGGCCACATTACTGAAAATGGCATTGAGCTGTGATGGAAGCGTCAAATAAACCCCAAAATAGTCAAGAGTCAATGAAACATCTGCTTTCATAGTGAGTGTATTTGACTGCTGCTGTAGAGCAGGATTGTACCTGTTAACACAGTTCATTTTTTCTTCTTTAAAACTAAAAGTCCTCTGTGAGGAAAAGGCCAAGAATGTCAGCCGTTATTGTGCCACAAAACACAAACATAACACATTGACATCAACATTTAAAACAGGGAAGTGACTTCAAATGGTTTTCTCCGTCTCCAGGTAGCCCAGTGTTTGCGATTCTTGACTGTAACTAATTGGCAAACAGGCAGGTCTCTCCAAAGGCCACAAGAAACAGGATATTTCTTTTTTGTTTAATACAAAACTATACCCCTCCCCCACTTCATTTTCTTTAAGCAGAAGAAATCCAATATTGCTAGAAAACTTTGCCGTCTTCTGCTTGATTGCTCTCTTTTTTTTCACGTTTATGGAAGAAACGTTAAGCTTCCCAGTGTGTCCCAGAATCAATGATGAAAGGACTTCCAAAGTTCATCCCAACACTAAGCAGTCCACAAAGACAAGGCCTTCCGTTTCAGCTGGATGCTAGCTTTCAGTGGATTTACTGGCTATGCTACATAGGTGTACACTTTGCGGTCCTCCGGTGTTCTTGCTAAATATTCCCTCTCAATGAGTCCTTCAATGCGTTTCTTGATGACTACTGGACTAGGAAGGAATCGTGCTCGCAACTGCTGTGTGACCTGTGGAGACAGAAAGCAGAAATTAGAACCAAAAGCTACATTTTCTATATCATCGCTGTGAAACAAAAGAAGGCAACTTTTGCTACTTATACAATCTGTTTGAATGCTCCAAGATTTGTTAGCTGATCTGCAAAAAGATTTGAATATTTATCTAAACAAAAATTCAATGATTGCGCACTTATATTACCTAACTTGAATTACTATGTAGAAATATGGGGCAACATCAATAAAATCTTGCTGTAACTGTTTTGCACATTACAAAAAAGGGCCATCAGAATGGTTCATAAGGCAGGATTCCACGATCATTCCGCCTCATCAAACTCCCAGATATGGTAGAATTTCAAACAGCTCAGTTTATGTATAAAGCTAGAAATAAACAACTACCACAAAATATTCAGAAGCTGTTTTCTTATAGAGTGGGGGGCTATGACTACAGGGAAAACCTTAACGGTTCGAACCACCATGAAGAGAATGTGCATTTTGATGAGTGGGGTGAAGGTCTGGAATAAACTCCAAAAGAGCTGAAGGAATGTCTAAGCATGAGTCTGTTTGAAAAAAAGAAGCTCAAACTGATGTTTTTCAACATGTACTGTGATGAGGAGGGGAGGTGAATGGCGCTGTGGGGTGCTAGTGGAGGGACTGTGGTGTTGGGCTGTGGCAATGATGATTGGGGGTTGGCAGGACTCTTGAGTGACAAAGTAAAGGGTGTGAATTACAGATTTCTTTTTATTAGAGGGAGAGGGGGAATGAATAATAAAGTTTTACTTCTTCATACTCCTTTTCAGACAGTTTACATGAATCAATATCAGTTCTTTGCCTGTATATACCTACAGGTTTATTTGGTGGAGACTTTTGTTTCTATTTATGTTAAAGAGAATTTAGTTAGTTTGGAAATTGGTGTTGGTTTGGTTGATGTTAACTAGTCTTTTTTTGTGTATTTGGTTGATTCATTTAGTGTTGTTTATCAAGTTTTCAAATTGTCTGAACATTTTTCTGTACTAAACCATAGTTGAGATCAAGCCAAAAATATTGAATTTATCCTAAATATGATGGATTAAAAACTTAATGTTATGTTCATAAATTTTTTTTTTTTCCAAATACCTTCTAAAGAAATAATAATTGTTTAATAAATCCCCATTACATTTATATTATTCAAGAGCGTCATCTTTCTTCAGCTCTTTAAAAACCATTAAAACACAGAAGGCCTGTCCTATTTGGTTTTATGACATGTCCTGTTAATTATGAAAATAAGCACCGCACACCTTTATTTAGATTATCTTTCATAGGTTTTACCTTTGCTTATGAAATAAAGTGCATGCTGCACTGCCTTTTTTATTTTTCTAAGGCTAGTCTTAAAAAAAGCCACAAGAACTTTGTGTTTTCTAAGACTACTAGTGACGTTAAAAAAAAGTCATCCATAATGACAAAAACCTATCAAACACAAATATTTTAACAATTAATGAAAATCTCTAGGTTAGATATAGTCTGTAAACTGAAGCTAAAATCTCTCTCCACTCTGCAGACTGTGTAGAAACCCAGTGTGACATCATGACGCTCTTTCACATTTAAAAGCAGCGATTTCCCTCCAGAGATTCAGCAGATATTAGACTCTCTACATAAAAAAATTACCCTAAAGAAGCTTAACTAAGGACAAAAAACAGTGCAAGCATCTATTAACTTACATTTGGACTCAGTATATCATTATCTCTTTGATGGTTTATTTTTGCCTCAAAGAATAGTCATTGTTCTTTATCCTCAAAGCCACTGACTTACCTCTGCTACTAAGACGTTGTGCTGCATCTTCTTTCTAGACTTCATGATGCGAACAATGGCAGCTTCAATCTCATGCTTTCTGTCATCGTCAACCTTCTGTCGCGTCTCTTTCCTCTCTGGGTCAGACTCTCCCTGCTTAGCAGCCACTAGAAGAAGACGTACACCAGAGTTATTGCAGCAGGTGTCATTAACATCTTTAAAGATCATCACTAATCCCAGCAGTGGTAGAAAGTTTGAGTTTAGCTGAATGTTAAATACAAGTTTCTATTGAAATCTGAAACAAAGAGATGGACAATCCTAAAGTGTAGATGGAGATACTGCAAACACGTGATAAAGTCCCTTAATTCTTGTAATAAAACACAGCTCAACACCAACATTGGTAGTCTGCTATTTCTCCCTAAAACTGGCCCAATACTACGGGTGTAAATAATAATCGTTTTGTATCGATGCATCGATCCAACAGCCGACGAGCCGATGCATCGATACGTCCGCAAGAGTATCGATTTATGTTTTTTTTTTCCTCCGGTCTATTTTTATCCATTTTGCTCCTGGACGTAATTCTCCCTCCCGTGCTGCGGTGGCGCTAAACCGATTTTGCCCTCCTACCGCGCTTCCTCGTTATACTCTTACAGCAGTGTGTTGCAGTAAGCTTGACACAGACATTTTTTATTTATGCTCAGTATTTAAGCGTGGTCTGTGCTACACGCTGTGGGTCTAGATACGACCGAGGCGGCGATGAAGTGGGGGCGAGTTTAGTCCAACAACGGAGCGACATGAGGGCCAAAAAGAGCGGAGATCCAGGTGGAAAAAGGGTCCCAGTGTTGTCGTGCACCTCGCTCTTCTAGTGGGTCAAACTTCACCAGTTGTTTTCCACAATTTCGGTCATAAAAACAAAACAAGCCGGCCTCCTGTCTGCGGCACTGTTTGCGGTCAGCTACAATTTGGGAGAGGAGCAGCGGAGCGTCTGTGGAGGGGGCGGGGACGTCTGGAGCCGAGGTATTTCATTGCACTCATTGCACTGATTTTTGCAGTATTTTTTGATGCAGCTTTTCTACTTCTGGTATTTGCTGTTGTTTCTAAAAAAAAAATGCATAACGATATTACAGCTTTCATTGATTTATTTCAAATTTGAAACATTGTCTAGCCTGTAAGGTGTTAAAAAAAAAAAAAAAATTACCAATTAATCGAATCGAATCATATCGTGGTGTATTCTTGAGTATCGAAAATGATCGAATCGTTGGGTTAGGAAATTGATACTGAATTGAATCGCCATGATGGATGTGATTTACACCCCTAGTCAATACCTAAAATAGTTTAACATCCAATATCAAAAATCATTGTTATCCTAATCAGTCAGCTCTAAGTTTTGTTAAGGTTAAACTTTCTCTTAATTCATTTAATACAACAAACCAAAGAACTCCCAACAACTGGAGCTATAAACACATAAACAGCATTTAATTTTTGTTTATTCAATTTAAGAAAGGAACAATATTATTTCCTATTGTGATGGATTTATTTTATTAAAATCCTAAATAGAACAAAATTAGACAAAAGTAAAACGATCTCGAAACGACATTTTTACTAGTCATAAGTGGAGATTTACCTGTCTGGATTTTGACCCGATGCAGTTTAGAGGTAAACTGGTCATTGACTGTAAACACGTGGCCATTTTCAATCTCCTTGGACTTGGGCTCTTTAGTAAGAACTCTCTGAGTGGGCTTCCCACAGGCCAGGGACTGCAACGCTCGCACCAGCTCCCTCTCAGGGATATCCGTCTCCTGCTGGATTTCCTGTTTTATGAAAACGGTCCACACAGGTTCATTATCTGGAACCATCAAAGCTGAAATTCTGCATATTCGATATCAAAAGGAACCACATGTTTGTATGTTAAAGTGAGGAGACAACAGAGTGATGTGTACCTCAAAAGTGGACTTCTCCCTGTTGTTAAAAAGCATGAGAATGGTCATCTGAAAGGTGGAAACTTGCAGGATGTGTTTTCTGGTGTTGGAGCCAGTCACCTGGGCCCCTCCCACTCCTACTTCTGAGCCGTCCTCCTGTGGATGCAATACCAGTTTTTAATACACAGAACCAGCAGTAAAAATAAGCCTTCATGATAGTATAAACAAAAGGACTAAATTTATTTAAACTCCCATCATTTCTTTGTCTTTCTAGAAATTAAGATGCTAACATTTGAATTTGGTAACTGCCATAGCAACTCATGGAGGCACCCATTATAATTCTGTTGATAAACTGGACTATGATTCATTTATTGGTGTTTTTTAGTTACGATAGTTATGTAATTCGCAAAAACATGCTCCCCAAAAATCCCATAGGAATGAATGGGGATTCCAAAAAAGTAAAAAAAAACTAACCACTGGACTTTGTTTCCAAGTTTGAGGACGTTTCACTCCCCATTCAGGAAGCTTTTTCAATTTAAATGTCAGCAATAGCGTTGAATGAATGGGTAGAGAGGATAAAAAGGGCATAAAAATCCCCTATTTTTGAGGCTTCGCTGCGTCCTTCATTTTCTCAAAACTGAACCGTACTAAACTAAACCGTATATTCATAACTGCTACGGTTTTTCCAAAATCATCCTTCAAGTGCCACAAAGTTGAAGGAAAAACACAGATTTAGAGTGGATGACATCACACATCAAAGTGGAGAGGGATGGATTTTCCAATAAGTTAAAAAAAACATTTTTAAATCGCTTCCATGGCCTACTTCATGTTGTCCGACAGCTTCTGTTGTGATGTTTTTTTAAATTCTAGTCTGAAGCAAAGGGAACTGAACTCTGCTTTCAAACCATAGTTATTTAGATTAAATGCAATTAATGATTTAAAGCAATTTAACCCCTTAACACTGACCTTTTTAAAGCTTGTGCAGAAACGTATTGCATACGAAAATTTCCATTGGCCAGTAAAATAATATAAATCCCACATGCCTCTGACTTAAATCATTTGAAAGCTAAGACCTTCTAGTTTCTGAAGATATGTGTAAAGACTCTGTAGATTTGACACAACCAGAGCTGTGTGACTTCAAAGGTGTCCAATAGGGATGCACGATATAATCGGCCTCCTATCGGTATCGGCCTGTATCGGCCTTAAATCTGAATATCGGACATCGGCCACCCCACCGATATTTAACCCGATATTTGATCAGCTTCTGAGTTTCTAAAGTCTAAAAAAAAAAATATAAATACTACTTCTTCTTCTTCCTCAAAAACTTCTTTTTTTTACAGACTTAAAAACTTCTAAAGATGAGGGAAAAAATATTGATACATTAAAATATCACAATATCTTCATATGCTGATATATTGCCATTTAAAAACACCATATCAATCTCTTTTACTAATGAAATATTGCTATAAGTCATCGTTATGCTACGAAATCCCCCGAAAATTCACAAAATTTTGCCATATTTTTATATGTTGATATATTGATGCGGTATCGATCTATTTTACTAACAAAATCTCACAAGAATTTGCAAAATATCACGAGAGTTTGTAAAAGAAAGATGAAATTTCACGAGATTTTGAAAGTAAAATAGATCGATACCGCGTTTTTAAAAATCAATTTGATATCAGCATATGAAAATATATTTGAGTATATTATTTTTTAAAGTGTAAGAAATGGATAACAAAACTGCCATTTTCAATGACTACTTATTTTTGTCCAGCTTTAACATCGGTATCGATATCGGTTATCGGCTACATGAGTTTTAAAATATCGGCATATCGGATATCGGCCAAAATCCCAATATCGTGCATCCCTAGTGTCCAAAAAACTATTATGCTATATCTTCTGTATAATTCATAGTTGACCTGTCCCACCTACTACAGCTGTTCGTAATGTGGACAATAACTGTGTACATTTTCACATCTCTAGTCATAAGCAATGTCAAACTATGACCCTTTTTGTATGCCAAAGGTACATTGGAGACAATTGCGCCAAATTTGGACCAAATGATGCTTTTCTATGTTTAGATTTATACAAATTTTCATTCAAGCACTTTTTTTTAAACAATATTTCCAATTTTGAAGCTTGAAAGTCCACTGTGAGAGTAACCGCTAGGTTATCATCTCATTCTTTACACAGGTAAATAAACGCTATACTTTCAGCCCGCCCTACACTTCTGATATATCTTCGCAAAGCTTATCTTATCTTATTGGCTAACAAAATAACTCAATTAAAGTTAGATCAGGAAATTTATGCCTGAGCGCTAGCTGAATAAAATTACGTGACACATACACGTGAGGAGGGCTTTTTTTTAACATAGAGGTATTGAGTAAATAGGTAGGTCCACGCAACGTGGATGATCTAAAATAGGGGACAAGTATTATTACAGAAAATAATTATACATTTTCCCTTACTTTTTTTTGGCAAAAAGAAACAAAAACCTTGGTGGATTATTATGACTTTTATATTTTTGGAAATAAACCTGGATATTACTTTTCTGTGGAGAAAATAAGTCTATTTTTGCCATCGCCGGGTTTTTCTTCCAATTACAAGAACAAAGAAAAAGGTAGGAATTATGAATTCTAAATTGATGACGAATTATTAGTTACTGGTTTTGTTGTGTATGTTTGGCTTACATTTGACTCAGTTTCCTTAGTATTGCCTGATTCTAAAGAGGTATAATATGCTGGGTTTCACTTTGATACAAGCCTGATATTTGATGCGGGGAAAAATTTGACGTAAAAGCGTACCAATGTCGGGCGGTGGATGTTAATAGGTTAAATATTTTAAAACAACTTATCTGTGATGTTAACATTAGCTGATTTAAAACATTATCTGAAGCAAAAGAACAACACTGTAAGGAACTAAATATTTTAGATGGATTCATAAAGTTAATGCACCCTCTAAAAAGACAGGAGCCAAAAGAAATACCCAACAATGTAGAATTTAAGAATGTGTTTTTCCCTTTCCCTCTATGTATTATATTTGCTGTTAGCAGATTATTGATCTCAGAAAGCATCAATATAACAAAGAAGTATGTCTAGAAAACTGCAAACTGAAACATACCTTTTTAATGGGACCATAGAAGGTGGCGTTTAAATCTGCAGAACCCATATGGTGCTGTAAGGTGAGTTGTCTACCACTGTGCTTACCAAGGTAAAACCTGTAACCAGAGAGTACGCTTCCATTAACCACAACAAAGAAAAGTAATTTTGCAATAAGCTGGGCACTAAACTGGGCATTTGGTCTGGAGGTTTTTATTACAGATCTTAACCCATCTTTTAATCAGTGAACACTAAGAAAACAAACAAACAATAGGCTGCTCTACAGAGTGGCTACTTTAAATCAGAGCAGAAACCTGAAAGTAGTCTGTTATTCAGGATTACATCTAATGAAACAATAGTTTTGCATAAAAACTGTCTGAAATGAAACAATATTCCTTCTAATAAGGTTCCAATGAAATCAACCATTTATGGAATTACTACCAACTTATAGAAGAGAGGCTGGACTCCTGAAGAGGACTCAGCTCAGGGTTAAGTTGCCATCAGTGTAGAGCTCGCTAAAAACTGTCAGCACATATGCCTCGTTTAAACTAAACCGTTGAAACCGATCAATGCTGAGTGCCGCTCTTATTACCATTTACACATCCCGATAGCATGGTTCCTCGCCTAAAAATGTCGACACCTATAACATTCATGAACTTGGATAGCGTCCCCTGCCCAAATTTCAATGCGATCTCTGCATCATCCCAGGTGATGCTCTTTTGATGTCATTTATTATTGATATGCTGAGAAGCAGTTTGAGTTGTGAACAGGTGAAGAGATATGTGAATTGGAAAGCCAGACACGCCGGAAAACCCGGAAAAAAAAGGAGTCAGCTGATTTTAAATAGCAGATAAAACGGTCTGCTCATGCGCTCTTTGTTATCAGAGAACTGAGCCACAACTGAACCACGCCGAGCCCTACAGTTGAATTATTAATAGATTTAGCACGGTTCTGTTGTCTGGCATAGTCCAGTTAGGTTGTGTTCCATTTACACTCAAAGGTGATGTCGGTTACCGTGCTCAGACCGATCCCAGCACAGTTTCAAAACGGTAGTGTAAATTGGGCTATAGATGAGAATGCAAATATTAGTTGACTCTGGTGTCAGATCAAAAAGCCAAAACTCTCCTTAGAAAATCTGATAATTCAGCAGAATCAAGACTAGACTGCAACAGACCCCAGATTAAACTGCCAGTGATTTCTGCAAAGCCAGTTATTTTACTGATGGGCCCCTTTATCCTCATATCACTGAGATTATTGGGACACTGGGCACCCAACACTTTTAGGAAGGTCAATATCATTCTCTTTTGATAGAAGTAGATCTACCAAAGATTAAAGAGACACCTGATGTCACTTGGTGCTCAATCCAGCACACAATGCAGTCCAGTCCTTGAGTGTAAATGTAATAACTGTGGCTCCAAAATAAAACATTTACAGTTTAGGTCCTGGTTCCAAGCAGACACTCTCCAGATCCTTATCCTAATAAAACTTTGTTGATGCTTTGCATAAACATAATGTACTCCGTTATACAAGCCTAAATGTCTTTGTTTTTTCAAACTGACATTAAGCATAAATTGAACCTCCTAGAAAAATTAACAATAGAGAAGCAGTAAAGTAAATACCTTCATGTTGTCATGGCTATACAGACAATAATCAGCTTTTAGCACTGATCTACAGAAATATGAATTAGCATAAAAAAAAAAAAACCTTAATTAAAAAGAATATCATACAAGCCCTGAAAAGGCTTAACTACATTTCTTAGAATCAGTAGAACCAAATGGAAGAAAAAAAAACTTTAACCAGTTCACAAAAGGTGTCTAACCAAACAGTGTTAAATTTAAACATCCACAAACCTTCTAAAAACCTCAAATGCATGACGTGGTGAAGGGGGGATATTGCACTTAGGTGTTGCTGATTGCGTTGGCCAGTATCCTGTAGTCAGGACCCTCACAGTAAGATCAACCCCTCCGAGGACAACCTGAAGTTGGAGAAAATTAAAAAACACAATCAGCTCAGAAAAACACCCAAACTGAACTGAAGCCATTTTTTAGATCCATGAAGGCAATGTGTAAAAAAAAATTATAATTTGTTGCCAAAGATCTCAAAACTAGTAAGATTTAGATTTTGAATTCATTACTGTTTAATGGTAACAACTTAAGCACACATGAGAAATCTACATGTTAGCTTGGGAAGCGATCACATGGCCTTACAACCTCTGTGGTGAAAGCTAACAGTAATACACACTGTTAGCTGCATGATAGCTGCAATGCAACAAAGCTATGAATGATGGGGTCTTTCACTGACTGCAGACTGAAAATAACAAAAGAATCTGCAGCCTGAGGTGGGTCCTCACCCCGGTGGTCTGGAGATGTTGCCTGAACTCGTCCATGGTGGTGTTGGAGATGCTCATGTCCCGGAACATTCCCTCTAGTTTGGAGGTGAACTGACATCCACACTCGGTCTAAAGGAGGGATAGCAAAATAAACGTTAGGATAAGAAAGTATCTACTTATAGTCAATACATTCAGAAAGATCCAGACTGTTTACAATTGGTTGCGTTTATTCATCAAGTTCCCTTGGATTTGCACCTATTTGCTTAATAAAGTCTTAATATTCAAAAATAAGGCCTCAGAATATTTTAAGTCCAAACAATTGATTAATTAGAGACAAATACTGAGAATATATACATCATTAACAGCAGTAACTATAATTCAATTGAGCTAAATTACAGTGCGGCTCACCTTTAGCTTTGAGATCATGTTCTTTTCCGAATCGTCTGAGACGCTCTTGTTGGTGAGCAACCGTCGAGCCAGGTGCTGCTTGTAATACCTCTCAAACACATCCTTCTCCTGCATGAAGCGGAAGAGAACCATGGCCTTGTCCAGTATTGACTCCACCTCCTGCTCTGTAAGCTGAATTTAAAAAAAGCAAAGCATAGAGAAGGTAAGAAATCCAAGTAAATTTAAATAAAATCCTATATTAATCCTTTAATAAAAGAAATTGCCAAAGCATAAAAATTAATCATCGTTTCTAATTTATTCAGATTCAGAATGATAACCAAAAAGGATGAACAGAGATGGGAGGCGATGAAGTGGAATAACTCACCCCTTTAACTCCTTTCTTCAGTTTGTCGTCGATGAAGAGCGAGAGGTATTCAGGTGAGCGGGAGTTGAGGTTGAGGAAGTATTCGAAATCTCCAGCAATAGTTTGTTTAAAGAGTCTGTCATTATTAAAAGATTCTTGGAGGAAACGGTCAAAACGCGACTTCAGGTCTAACAAACCCTGCAAGAAAGAGGAGGCAGAGCAAGAAAAGAGGGAAAATCAGCAAGCAGTCTGCAATAGCTGAGGCCTAATCTAGTTATCACACAATAAGAGGTAGGTGGAAGTAAATTAAAATCCCTTTATGGCCTCTAACAGCTTTAGATGCGGTGATTTTTTCTTCTCCATCGCCAAAAATATCTTCTTAACAGCTTTTTATTTCAATACATTTAAATAAAACCCCATATGTTCATACCTGAATATAATCTACTGGATTTTTTCCTTCTCCCTCCTCTGAAACGAGGGCCTTGCCCTGCTCCCGCAGGTAGGAGCTCATACACTCACACATGGTCTTCAGCCCATTGGGAACTCGACTGAACAACTTGTACATACACGCTAAATCTGTGGACAGACAGAGTGAGGGGCGGGTCAGATGTTTACATATACACATACATTAATCATTTCTTGCTTTTAGGAGTGAACATTGATTAAAGGACATAATCAAAAAAGTTTGAAAAACATTTTTTTGTTTTAATCCAAGCAAGGTTATTTTTCTTATTCACAATTCAATTAGATTTGCACTGGTCAATCAGTAGCTCTAGAGATCAGCCGATTTTCATGTGATCGGCCACGAATGTTGACTGGGGATTCATTATAAAGGCCACTAATTTTAAGCGCCGATAGTTGTTGACAAGCTTTTCTCTGAGCGGACATGCATCTTTATCCTACGCTTTGTCCATGTTTGTTTAGGTCAAAGTGCCCAAAACAGGAGGAAAAACTATCTGGAAACAGAAGATAGGTGAGATAGCACTCGGAACTCAGACGGAAGGGACATAAAATCAGTGTGAGAGCAGAGGGGACTGAGAGCATTGGGATGCGGGATGTGACAGCCAGCCGAGCCGTCCTCTGGAGCAAAAAAACCAAGGCGGTAGATCTGAGGGGCCTGTAGGGCAGACAGCGCCAGTACGGGGAGAGGCTACGGCTGGCCCAGTCTAGCCTCTAGAGCAGTGTTTCCCAACCGAGGATATGTATACCCCTAGTGGTCCGAGAGAGCATTGCAAGGGGTATATGTAAATATTTTATTTCTTAGGTAGTAAAATAAAATAGGGCTCTGATCTGTTTTTTCCTTCTGAGGACTCAACTGAAAAAATAAACAAGCTTTGTTCAACCAAAAGTACGTTTTTCCTATATGTTTGAGTTCATTTTCAGTCTTGTAGAGAACAGTCTGGGAACAGCTGTTGTTCACACTGAGCTATCAGAGCTCATCAAAGCAGCTCAGGTGTCTTGATAAAAACAAAACTAATTAAGTCAGTCTGACAATAATTTTTCTTCAGTTTTTGTTCCCAATTCCATTAGTTTAAATATGATTATAAGTGAGTTACTAAGAGGATGTTTATAGAAAAAAAAACACCAAATATTTGGTTAATAAAGCACCATTTTTGAAGCCATCAAGAAAGTTCTGGTACATTTCTGACCCGATGTCTGACTCTGATTAAAGTCTTTCAACTTGTTGCTTTCCTGGAATTAACAGCGTTGAGGATGAAGCTTTGGGTTACGAGACTCCATCCAAAACCAGTTTTAAAATGAACTTGACAAAAAGAAAAGAGTCAGGCTAATCATAAACAAACAAAGAACCACCCAGGCTCCAGCTAATCGCAGTCTGTAAGCTGCTGGAAGGTTAGTGATGCCATCCATTGTGAGGCTAGTGGATCCAGAATCATTTCGAATATCACATTAAGCAGAAGGAAACATTAAGGACCAACTTCCAAAGTTTAACTTAACTTTGCAGATAAATGATTAACGCAACATTATAGAATGGATCAAGTAGCCTAACATTTAGAATCTGGGATTGCCTGTATGGAGAACAACTACCAGCCAGGTCTGCGCCAGCAAACCAATCAACTATAATTGATTGGTTCAATATCCAGCTAGATGTTCAATATCCAGTTAGGTATGCTGGCATCTAAACAAAAAAAAAAAAAAAAAAAAAAAAAAAAACTGGGAAAATTAAACCACACTTTAGAAGTGATATATGGAGATATTTAAGGCAGTATGTATTCTCGTTTTACCCTGTGTGGATTTGAGAAACCTTAAGATTAACACACTTCTAGTTTACTTCCACCACTAACCTAACTCTGCTGCCTACTGTTGGTTGAATAAAGTCAGGTTTATTACATTTGGTAGTGATGGCTTCACTAATTTCTCATAAAAGAAAGTTGTTTATCTTTTTTATCTGCTATGATATCAAACAGAGAGGATAAGATTAATTGGCCTATTGGTGAAACGAGAACATTCTTTTCTTACTTTGGAGAGTCCGTGGCATTCAAAGGGAACGCTAGAACAACCTGAAAAACTCCAAACCTATCAATACTAACATAGTTGGCTACGAGGTGATATACAAACACAGCAATATTCACCCTTTACCCCTGCTAATGCATATGGAGATGACACCAGTCTTTGATGACTTTATTTAACTATATACAGAGTTACCGTCTTCAGCCACAGCACAGCCACAAACCATTCCATCTCCAATTCTTGCTTCCACTCTGAGCAGAAACCAACAAAAATGGCGGCTTTCCCGGTTTTATCAAGATTGGTAGTTAATGCACAGCTTACCGCTCTAAACTATTACTTCCTATTCATCTGCCATGCAAAATAAGATTGTTTTAATAATTGCGGCACGTGTCAGTTTTATTCTGACAACATGGCTCCACCCTTACCGTCAGTCTTGCCATTCTTCAGCATATGGACCAGGCCTGAGTTCTCCATCTCCACGATGGTCTTCATGTGCTTTGAAATGAGCTCTCGTTCCACCACCTTAACGATGGGCTCCTCTGTCGATTTATCCAGGCAGTGCATTACCCGCTCAATCTCCTCGTTAATTCTGGCCTCAACCTTCTTAATGTACACACTCGCACTGTTTTCTGCAAGGAACTTTTGGCTCTCCATCTGAACGAAGAAAAAAAGGAATCTACATCAGCCACGAATCACAAACTCCTGTGTGTATACGACTGCCCCAGGAAAAGAAATAAAGCAAAGCTTTAATCTAAACAATAAAACTAAACAAGAGAATTTAAATACAAACCTGGAAAAATTCTGCAGACATTTCCAAGAACGGCGCTTCAAAATCTTCTTCATAAACAGATCTTCCTTCAAGGCCGAGAATCATTAACATTTGGCAGGCATTTCTGATGGCCCCCCTGAAGCAGAGCAGAAGCACATCAACACTCAGCAACATGAAAGAAAAAACAGATTGATTTTAAAACGAAGAGAAAAGAAAAAACTTCTAAGGGTGTTCATTTCACTAACTATGGCCACCAGCCAGATTTTCATTATTCATTCATTCTTTCTTTATTCTGAAAACCATGCACCCTCCAGAGCCGAAGGTTCAGGGAGCTAAATATTTTACAATGTCAGAAGCCTTAAAGATTTCCCCTAAAGGCAGAAAGGCGAGGGATGTTTAACAGCTCCTTTATTTCTTACTCCTACAGATAATAACCTCTATCTTTGATCACAACTACACCATCCTTAATTAGACCCTACCTCATGCATTTATCTACAAGCCAAATAATTTATTAGGTAGTGATATTGAATGAGTAATGCTTCTATACCTGTCCACCACTTCCCCCTTCCTCTCTCGTGCTATCATGTCCAGCAGGGTCTGTCGAAGGTGGTCTCTGATGCAGCCATAACGAACCACCTGATCCCTAAAGATGATGAGCCCCAGGTTGTAGACGTTTTCAACATTGTTTTGCTGCACATAAACTCGATCCTTTGGCACAAAAAACAAACAAGAGAGTTAAAAGTATTGCGGAGAGACTGCACAAAATTTTCTGTTTTAAGAAACAACTTGGTCACTAGACTCTTCAAATGTCACTACAGTAAATGTGTGGTATCTGTGTTATATGTTGATTTTCTGCAGCGGATAGGACTGCAGGGCCAACTTGAAATGATTTATTTTGGTAATGTCTTTCAATTAATTCATTGAAATATTAAAAGCTGGTGTATTTGTTTCTTTCTGGTCAGTGTTTATCCAACAGCGGTGACTAATAAAGATGGCACAGGCAGTGGGTGGTGGAGACGGAGTTACATGACCAACAAGGAGCAAAAAGCAGTAATCATTTGTCCGAACGTAAAGTTAACTGGGTTCGCCGTAAGGTCCACTATATAGTCCACACTCTACATAGCAACTGAGGGTTTTAGGGGGGGTTACTGCAGACATTCGGACACAGTAAGATTGTACGAGCTATGAGACCAACAACTTTAAAAACAGAGCTTGGGGTTGTGTATGTGCATTTGTTTTTAAAGTGAGAGGGCAGGTCTTTTCAAAAATGGACTATGGCTGAATAATTAAATGTATTTGCAATATAATTTCAATGTGATAGTTTCATGTGCTTTCATTCGCCTGACATGTCAGCTGAAATTTGCCTGGCCAGCGAAAGTCATTTGGACAGCAGGAAAAGGCTCCACGTCGTCATCAAATCTAAAAAAGTTAGCAGTTTCATCTCAACATGATGGACCTTGATTTTACAGAGCGACTCATTGTTCTTTATTTACTTTAGAAGCAGAACAAAGCCTCCAGCGTCTCTGCATCACTCATGATCCCATTTAACGATTCAAGGAGCAACTGTTGGATCCCAGCCGCTTTCTATGTAGCTTAAGGTAGGTGAAACAGTGTTGTGGAGCTCAGACATCAAAGCAAAAACCCCGTCAGAGAGAGCACCTGAACCGGGACAAGGTGACCAACTGTGCCCTCCTTTGGAGCTAAGGAAACATTGTGGTAGATCGGAGTGGCCCCAGTAGAGAGCATCAAAGTGGGGAGAGACAGCGGATGACCAGTGTCTGTAGTCTTTCTAGTCTAGTCTTTGCTAAATTAGATGACAATTATTTCAATAATTGATTGATCTGATCGTTTTAACCCAAGATGCACTTTTCAAAAATTGCTCCAAATACGATGCTGGTTAAACAAGAAGTTGAAACATCTCATGAGGCTTTTCATCTATTGATGAATGCTCTGTTGTTCCTGCTGTTATTGTAACTACAGCAACGCCTTCTGTATCTGCTAAGCTTGTCAAAATAATCAATACCTCGATATTGTCAATTCTGAAAAGAAAAAGGAATTAATCAAAGATAATAATTTAAGTCAAACACATTTAAATAGCACATTTCGTGGCAAGACAATTCAAAGTGGAAAGACAAAAAAGTACAATGCAGTGGCATAAAAGCAAAACAAGTAATCAAAAGAGAATAAAAGCTCCACTCCTGTTCCTTCAATGCGTCATCAGATAAAAGGAGCTTCTACCTGCTGCTTGCCTGTTTTAACTCAGCATGACAGACCTGCTGGACCGAGCAAGTCACAGTGAGGAAAATAAGCATTTGAATACCCTGCTATTTTGCAAGTTCTCCCACTTAGAAATCATTGAGGGGTCTTTCATCGTAGGTGCATGTCCACTGTGAGAGACATTATCTAAAAGAAAGAAAAGAAAAAAGAAAAAATCCAGAAATCACAATGTATGATTCTTGAAGTATTTGTTTGTATGAGCTGCAAATAAGTATTTGAACAACTTAGAAATTCAAGGTTAATGTTTGGTACAGTGGCCTTTGTTTGCAATTACAAAGGTCAAACATTTCCTGTAGTTTTTCACCAGGTTTGAACACTTCAGGAGGGATTTTGGCCAACTCCTCCACACAGATCTTCTCTAGATCAGACAGGTTTCTGGGCTGTTGCTGAGAAACACAGAGTTTGATCTCCCTCCAAAGATTCTCTATTGGGTTTAGGTCTGGAGACTGGCTAGGCCACGCCAGAACCTCCTTGATTATCCTGGCTGAGTGCTTTGAGTCATTGTCATGTTGGAAGACTCAGCTTTTGACCCCTCCTCAATACTCTGAGGGAAGGTTGCTCCCCAAAATCTCGCAATATATGGCCTCAGTCATCCTTAATACAGCGCAGTCACCCTGTCCCATGTGCAGAAAAATACAGCACAGCAGGATGCTACCACCCCCATGCCTCACAGTAGGGATAGTGTTCTTGGGATGGTTCTCATAATTCTTCTTCCAAATAGGGTAAGTGGAATTATGTCCAAAAAGTTCGATTTTGGTCACATCTGACAGCATGACTTTCTCCCATGACTCCTCTGGATCATCCAAATGATCATTGGCAAACTTAAACAGGCCTTGACATGTGCTTGTTTAAGCAGAAGAACATTCTGTGCCATAGATGATTTCCAACCATGACTATTGTATTGACTAGTGTATTACCAACAGTAACCTTGTAAACGGTGGTCCCAGTTCTTTCAGGTCATTGTCCTGCTCTTCCTGTGTAGTTCGGGGCTAATTTCTCACCTTTCTTAGGATTATTGAGGCCCCACGAGGTGAGATCTTGCATAGAGCTCCAGTCTGAGGGACACTGACAGTCATGTTTAGCTTCTTCCATTTTCTAACGATTGCTCCAACAGTGGAACTTTTTTTTCCCCCACCAAGCTGCCTGGCAATTTCCCCGTAGCCCTTTCCAGCCTTGTAGAGGTGTACAATTTTGTCTCTAGTGTCTTTGGACAGCCCTTTGCTCTTGGCCATGTTAGTAATAGGATTCTTACTGACTGCATGGGGTGGACAGGAGTCTTTATGCAGCTAACGCCCTCAAACAGGTGCATCTAATTTAGGGTAATAAATGGAGTGGAGGTGGACATTTTGAAGGTAGACTAACAGGCCTTTGACGGTCAGAATTCTAGCTGATAGACAGTAGGGTTGTCACGATACTAAACTTTTCAACTCGATACCGATACTAAGGAAAATATTTGATACTCGATACCATTTTCGATACCACAAGGATAAAAACAAAGACTCCAAAATTCAACAGAAATATTTTCATTAATAAATAAAATACAATAAATAAACACAATAAAGGTTGTATGCTGTGCATAATATTATGCAAGCTTGATAAAAAACTTATAAAATTAAAATTAAGTGTTCCTTCCTTGGCTATGCTTTGCACACATAACAATGACACTAGCCAAACCAGTTAAGAAACAAAAATAATTCTCAGCAGCTGCACCTCTTACAAAAAAAAAGTCTGAAACCGAAAAGAGCACAGAATTATTCAATCACACAGTGTTCTGAAAGTGCATTGTCCTCTATTCTGCACTTTAGATGAATGACTGCTTAGGTGCCACTGGTGGTAGCACTGTATCGATACTTTTAAAAACGAGTATTGTATCCGGATACAACATTTCAGTATCGATACTTTTTTGAGTTTCGATACTTTTGACAACCCTAATAGACAGCTGTTCAAATACTTATTTGCAGCTGTAAGATACAAAAAGGAATAGTTAAAAAAAAGAAATCATATATTGTGATTTTTGGATTTTCAGGGTTCTTACAGCATAAGGCAAGTTAAATTCAAGACTTTTTAATGCCACTTGAAATAAAAATGTAACACCAAATTCACAAGAAAACCCCGCTTGTGACAACTTAACCCAAAGGTTTATTTTGACATAAACCACTGCACTAATGTTTCAAATTTTGAAAAGCTTCCCATACAGGAAGAAAGCTAAAAACACAAATTACAGATATATTTTAACAATTATTTAACTGAATTCACAAACTTTGTTTTAGCAGGGAACAAAACAAATCAGTTTTAAAGCCACAACATAACCAGTGCTGAGTTTTTTTTGCAGCTATAATTCTTTTTATCATTTTCTTAGTATGTTTGATTTGGTGATAAGTGGAGGCGTTGCAGAGACAAGGGTGGAACTAAACTGAGAAATACCGGCTGTTTCTCTGTAACTGGATTTTGAAGCTTTGTGTTTCGTGCTTCGCATGTGCGACTCTACTGCCTTATTTCCCATCGTTCCGAGCTTGAATGACTTCTTGCACAAAATACACTGTGCCTCATGTATGTTCCCTGGTACTGGTTTTAGCCACGGAGAAAACTCTTGGCTGGATAGACAATTTTCGTTACATTTACACTTGCTCATATTTTCCAGACAAAAAGTTAATGGCGCATCTCCTAAATGTCCAGGCCTCGACAGAGCTTTTATTGGTTCCGCTATCAGGACGGAACCAATAATGGCAAGCCGTTATTTTATTTTATTTTTTTATATATAAAATATAAAAAAATAATTTATATATAAAATAAAATAAATAGTCAATTTTAACGTTTTTTTTAGATTACAAAACTAAATCGTAATAAAAATAATCCTATTTATGATGTTTTAAAAATTAAAACCTACGAAAGACTGATTTAAGACATTTTAATACCAATTAAGGCCTTAGTTTTATTTTGAAGAATCCAATGCCTTTTAAGACTTTTTAAGGACCCGCAGGAACCCTGATTTTGTCTCTCACAGTGGACATGCCCCTACAATGACAATTTCAGACCCCTGTGTGATTTCTAAGTGGGAGAACTTGCAAAATAGCAGGGTGCTCAAATACTTATTTTCCTCACTGTATCATAAAAGGCCAAACAGAATGGGGTATATTGCTCTATTATTTTTTAGAAGGAGAAACTGAAAAACAAACTGTTTCTGTGCAGAGTCCAGGCCTGCCACGACGGATTCAAAAGCTCGAAGCCAGTTCTAGAACCAGATTCGCTTAGAACAAGCTCGGTGGAAAAAAAAAAGAAAAAATGGATTTGACACTTAAAGCTCAAATCAACACGTAAATGCTGCAAACCTAGAAGCAAGAATAGAAGCATTCTCACTGTTGGGAGGACAATATTAGATCTGACTTTACACTGAACTGTTTTATCTTTATGTTAAGAGCAGGAAGTACTCACCATGTACATGAGGATGTCTCTGATCATCACCATGGCGGTCTGGTGGTCGTTCCATGCTTGATTTAGTGTTTGGAGGAAGTTATTGTTTAGGGAGTTCAGGACATCTTCTCGTACCTTTAGGGAAAATACAAAAAAGCTGTTAGTGCTACATTAGGATTCAGCAGCATGAGGGACTCAAACAAAATATAACCATGTTTCCCCACTATCTAAAAAAGAGAAAAGACATGAAACAATGTGACAGCTGTGATTTGTTTTTAGCACAGCCTTTTATCACAACCCTTCCTGCAGGTAGACAGCAGGCTGATACCAGCCACACTGCAGTGTGACTCAGCACTGTAAACTCAGGGCCTCTAAAGAGGGAAAAACTTCAGGGCACACTGACCTAGCCTGATGTAGTCCGACTCAATTCTAGTCAGAATATGAGTCTGATACTGCTCCATAGAGCTGTGATTATGGAGCGTGTTTCGAACGAACCAGGAAAAAAAATGCCTCTGCACTCAATTGGATAGACCTACAACCAATAAGAGCAACGGAGTGCGGGACGTATGTTAAGCGAGGCATAGTTGTTGTCCACAAAAATCAAAGCGTGCAGTTTCACACCTAGAATAAGAAGATGAGACTTGATCGCGTTTCTCTGTTCCTCTTTTAAAATAAATTTGCTTTCGATATCTTCTAGAACAGACCTAATAGCAGAATCTACTCACCCAAACTCTCCAGCGGCAGCCATTGTTGTTGTCACCCAAGCGCGCTTTGGTCACGTGGTTGATTACGTTACTCTTGATCATCTGTCCATCATCGTATAAAGCCCGCCCTGACAATTTGATTGGATCGCCTGACAGTGGGCGATAATACTCGCGCTACTATGGAGCAGAGCCAGACCGAACTTCCCCGAACTCAAACCTTGTGGGCGGGACTAAGTTCGGACTGGCCCCGTTTCTCTTTTAAGGCTGAGATGAGGAAATAGCAGCAGATCTACAACTGCTAGGCTCGTTTCACCACTTGATCTACACTGAAAAAAATCTATCTTAAGTCATTTTTTTTTTAAATAAGTGCATTTGTTCTTGAATTTAGTAGGTAAGTCACTTTGCCTATGGGACAAGACAATTTACATTTCAAATAGGAAAGAAAAAACAGTTGCATTGTCTTATTTCAAGTGCATAGTATCTCACTATCTTATTCTAAGAGTAAAAATACTAATTCTATTGGTAAATCATCTTATTAACCTACTCAAATGAATGGTAAAATACACCTAATTTAAGAAATGTTGACTTATTTGTAGATCATTTTTGCAGTGTAACCGTCTTAAAAAAAAAACAAAAAACAATTAGATTGTAGTAGACAAAGGACATCTTTTTGCAAGTTAAAAAGGTTGATGTTATAATGCCAGTTTTTAAATAGATTATTATTTTATGTGTGCAACTATAGTTCCCCATGGTTTGATATTATTTTTATTGTAATAAAAATATAAATAGCTACAAAGACGCATTAGTGTAATGTAATGATTTGGCATTAAATCATAACAAATTTTTGCCAATATCAAATAGGGGAGCATATTTAAAAGAAGAAATTCAATAAGTAAAACATTTTTATATATATATTAAAAAACAAAGATTCTGAGTGTACAGCTGCACGATACTTGGAAAACCTCCCAAATGTTGATATGAATGTAAAAATATTACAACAACATCAGATAGAAATTTGATTTTATCAAATCTTCTCCGCCTTAGCTTTAGTTTGTTTGGTACAATCATGTAACAGGATGGGGCATCTCCTGCAATCAGGGCAAAAAAAAAAAACTAGATCTAATCAAAACATTTCCTCTCAGTCCTGGTAGAGTCACATGCAAAACAGATATAAAGGGGCCCCCAGTTGAAAACCCCCTCCCATCCTTTCAGCCAAACAGGTTATAACTGACAGGAGAGGAAAATTCCAAAAGGACACTTTTCGATTTTTAACAGCATATACAAAAAATCCTACATTAATTTAATAAATCAATCTGACAGAAGAAGTCATCAGTGCAGATTTTCAAGCTGAAAATAAAAATTATTACTGTCTAACTGGTGGGTGGTTTTCATTGCTACTTAGCATTAACGTTTATATTCTTTCAAGCAGTATGTACTCGATATCCTGATTAAAGTTTTTTAAATTGATCCATTTTAGAGTTCCTGAAACAAACTTGAGGCCTGACACTTTTTTATAAACCAGTCAATCCATATAGCCCCTTCTTTTGAGGGGCTGTATATTTTCATTAATTTGAGGGCTAAATTATAAGGTGGTGCTGATTATTTAAATGTTTTTTTTTCCGCCCGACTATTTACAGTAACATTCTCAGTCAAAAGGAGACAGTATTAACTACTGCAGCAGTTAATAATAGGAACCACTGCCTTTTCAAACACGTCCACCACAGACGGGGTGGGGATGTTCGGTGTCTTTTCTTCAGTGCTTTACTTTGCATTCTCAGCAACATTTCTACGTGCTGTGCTGTTTGTCGCGTCATTATCACAAGTTTCGACCATGTTGTAAAGGTGTTAAATGTCTATCAGCCAAAAAGCAAAAATGTGGCTGAATTTTCGGTGGATCCCTAACTAGGAGCAAGATGTGGGTTTCCCAAAGTCTCTGGCTGCAATAGGCCTTCTGAAAAAAAAATGCATGCTTAAGTTGGCACATTATAATACCTTTCTTACCCTAATAATTTCTCAGTAAGAGTCATATAATGAAGCTGTTCTGTACAACTTCTGGTTCACTTAAAATATCAGATGCTGCAGAACCATGGATCATACATGACTCAGCAAACAGGTACATCATCAAAAAGCTGTTATGGACCAAGTAGCCCTGCAGAACTTGTATTTTCCAAGTATAAACATGGTAGCAATTTTATTAAGACATTAGCTGAAAGGTGCTCAGCATCTCGGAGAAAGAACCTCCATGAAAAATCCCAGATCTGATCCTTGAGAAATTCACTGTTACCTTAAGTATAATTGAACCTTAAAACCTACAAATCACATGCTTTAAAGTAGGGCTGAAAAAACTAAAATCAGATTATCGTTAATTGATTAATAAAATAATCAACTAATCGTCAACTAATTTAGTACTGATCAATAGTTTACTAAATGATAGAGACTCTAAAACATGCCTTTAACTGAGAGAGCAACCCTCTTAGAGCAGTAATAATATGTAAACTGTAAAAATATATATCAATATTTTGCATTTGAGATAAAAAAAAACCTTTTAAGGTCTATCAAAATGAGGTATCCAGAACTCCACAAGTGGAAAAGTTTAGTTTGACCTGGTTTAATTCGGTTAAAAAATCTTTTGATATCAGATTATTAATTGATTAATCAAAAAAGAATCAAAAGATGAATCATTTAACAAAACAATCGTTAGTTGCAGTCCTACTTTAAAGCACAACTGAAGACGTTTCTGCTTAGCTACCAGATGTGCATAAACTTGTCGTATTGGTGATATTTAACTCTCAGAGAAGCTGTATACAAAAAAGAAATTGATTACCGTTTCAGGATGTCATTACCAAAAACAATAATATTGACTATTGCTCTTTAGAGACATGGTAACTACTCAGTAATGATTAAAATTGGACCTAACAAAACCTGAACCCTCCCCCCAAAATAAAATCAATACATCGTTACAGATATAAATTCATAAACCTGGTTTCTTCCTCATTAACCATAAGAAAGAGGAACTTGTCCTCTAAGGTCTGTAATTCAACAGGACTTGTGTAATACAATTTTAATTGCACTTAGCAAACATTTAGAATATGCTACTGAATTACACCTGAAGCAGCAAATTTATGAATCCAATGAGAGGATATACTGTTTATTTGTTATGCAGACCATGTTATAAATCCCAATAACCCCTGTCTGCTGAGGTTTAAAGCCTGGGATGATTCAGAAAATAAACAGAGCCTCCTGATATAAAGCGCCTGAATCTTTTAGACAGATCCATTAAGAGCATAGATCATACTATCAATATTGTTTTGTTCTTAGCTGCTGTCAGTGACAGCGAGAGACCAGTCTGCACATAAACCTAGCACAACAGAAAAGCTCTGAACTGTAATGAGCAGTAATAAGGAAGAGTCATCAGGAGAACCTCTGCAGACTAAAAAAGGTCCAAAAACATACGATCACAAACACCACAAAGCTAAAAAAAAAAAAAACTGACCTTAAATAGCTACAGTAGGCAAATTAAACGACAGTGTGAAAACTACACCCTTCCCTAAAACAAAGAGTTGTCAGCCCATAAAAACAGCCACAAAAAGACAAAAAATAAAGATCGCAAACTGCGTTTAATTTGTTAGCTAGTTGGTTACACTTCCACATTTCTACATGATCTGGGTTGCATTTTGTGCCACCTATAAACATCCCTGTGCAACATTTAGAGGCCAGCAGCATACCCAGCCAGCAAATTCAGCCTAAAAACTAATATAGCAAAACCTAGTTCAAACATTTAAATAACTTATATTTTAGAAGGTCTTGTTGAGACTAATATGAGATAAAGATGACAAAAATAAATCCCAAGCAGCAACTTAGCAGCACCTTTTACGTTTTGAAAAAGAACCGGTCAGTTCAATCGGTTCGTCTGTCAGAACCAGAGTTGCATTAGAGGCTATAAGTCTCACCCAGAAAACCTTTTGGCACCTACTGCAGACAGTGGTAACTGTGGGTGTAAAGCAGACAACAACTCAAAGGCTGATAAATATCTCCTGAACTCAAAACGCAACTAGACAGAGTTCTAAATTTTTCATTCAATCTGCCACCACTTGACCTTTAGACTCCTTTGCAGTCCTTTGGTTATGCAGTGTCCTGTCGTCTTACTTTGTTAATGAGATGTTCTGTGACAACTTCCCGCAGGCCCGTGTACAGTTTTTCTCCATGCTTGTGCAGCACCATTGTGTAGGCATTCCTGTAAAGTTCCTCAAAGCTCAGGCCGCTGTTGTTTTTCCTCTGTATTTCCTGGATGGCATTCTTTAATAGATCCCAGATATTGTTGACATATTTCTCATCCATCGTCATCTGTGGAAGAAGAGTATGAGACATAACCATTTAGGCATTTATCAACTAAATGAAGTACAGAATATGACATTGGTGGGTTTTTGAGTAATCATCTTCAAGTTCTTGTCTGTGTATAATGCCCTGATTTATAGTTTATGTAATGAATAAGAGTATTTGGTAAGGGTTTGCTGACAAAGAGATCCAACTAACACCAGATTACCTCACTACTTTGACATAGGATAAAAACCTCTATGGTAATTGAGTTTGAAATTGAATTTAAACAGTCCTAGTCTTTTTTTGTTTGATTGTGGAGTCAATTCATACCACAAAGTTTTGTAAGGTATCCTAAGATATGTTTGGTATGCTGTTACAGCTGATGATAGTTGTTGTTGTTCTTTCATTCTCTTTGTCTCCTTTACTACCAAAGAACTGCAGGGTAACCCAATCAACTCCAGACTTCAATTCCTATACTGATCAAACAGATAATTTTTCACTTGACAAATCTTTGATATTCAACTGCTGTCAGACTCTTCTGAATTTACTGAGACAGATAAGAAAGAATTCCTAATCCAAATATCGTAAGGATAGTGGGTATCAATCACAGCAACGAGGTCCAAATAGAATAAATCCTCAAGTATCTTCAAGCAGGGTCCAAAATTTACTTTTAATATAGCCATCAGGGCACTCAGTGGCTATGGCATGGGTTGTTACAATTGAGCCTGAGACATGGACATCCAGCGATTGTGGCATTTACTGGGTTTATTTTAATGGATGTTTTCCAGTTAAATGTCTGTTCACTTTTGCATATTTGTTGCACACCGAGCAGCTGATTAGCTTAGAATCATCGTGCTAAATAAGCCAGTGCCATGCGAAACACAAGTCGTTTCTCAATATGTGTACTTGTGCGTTCTGATGTGCTCATGTACTTGTGAAACGTCCTCAACTCTAGTACTGTTCCAATTCACAAGAACAGCAGCCCGAGAACAGACAAAGTCCATTGATGTTGTTCTCGCCCCTCACTATTTACCCAGCATGCATCAGAGCAGACCTGTCCGTTCTTGGACTTACAGCCGTCCCAGCATGCACTGCTGCAGCAGTAGCTTTCAACTGAGCGCTAACAGAGCTGAGAGCATTAAGTTAAAAGTTATCTTTTCTGTTGCTGTTGTTCAATAAAAGTACATTTTAAGATCATTTGAGGCGAGAATATTATAATTTAAAGCATCACTATATGGTCCATTTACCGATTGAATGCGTCATTTTAAAAAAAATATTTGAGAGGACCGCGGCAACCAGCGGACATCCGAGGGTAACAGCAGCCAGGGCTAACCGCAGCCCGTCTATAGCAGCCTTCTCTCGGCATAGCCGTGTGTGAAGTACTGTTGGCTCTGATGGCGATTTTTTGTTTTATTTGGCAAAATGTTCATTTGATTTGTGTTTATCTGTGTTCATTATTAACCCCAATAAATGAAAAAGGTTATAACTTATTATTATCTAGAGACTATTAATAACAGGAGGTGGAATGCAGCTCTAGAGGAGCTGAGCGTGTGGTGACGTCGCAAGTACACTTCTGTTCCAATTAACCCATATTTATGCTGTGTGCTCCTGTTCTCGCCAGGTCCATACCTTCCTGTGTTCTTTTCAAGAATATATTTGGCGTGGACACGAGTCCGTACTTGCGTTCTACTGAATTGAAAACGGCCAGTCTTCCCAAAAGCGCCATTTTTCAATAAACTTTTTCTTCACCCTGGGGGCTGTAGATCCTCGCTTCCTCTCCTCCTCATCGGCATTTTCTTTTAGAAGGCTTTGTTGCTCCACTGGTTTAAATTTTATAAACCACCATTAATAAAAGTAAACTTTCAGATATTTAATCACATTTTCGAAAAGATTCTTTATAAGCTTTCTTATAATCATTTTTACAAAACAATCAACACTTATCATAGACTAATTTACTTTATGAAGTCTTTATGAAGTTTTTATGAAGTTTTTGAAATGGTAGTAGGAAATTATTTCAGGGTTGTTCTTGGTAATAACATTAATGTCTGGACTTCTTAATATGAAATTGCACATTGTAATATCTCTTAGGAATTTCATTTTTAGTCTCTTTGAAGGCTTCTTTTTTCTTTTTTAAATCACTGCCCGGTATAGCAATTTGTCTCTGACGACTAAGACCAGAGTTAGCAGGCTGGATAAAGTGGAGGATAAGATTTCAGGGAGGAACCAGGTACAGGTTGTGAACTTTCCAAATAGGAAAGTGCTGATAAAGACCCTCTATGTAATGTTATCATACCTCATTAGAGACCTCCAACTTTTATCCATCAGCTTACCACTGTAAAGTGCAAGAATATCAAGCACAGGAAGCGCATGCAGATATTGTTATGAATTAAGGTAAAAACCAGATCAAAGTAGGGCTGCTATCTGCAAGCATAATATATGACGATTGGGTATTATATATCTAACCCTTGATGCATATCTACCAAGGAAACTAAATTTAGATGCTGTAGTTAAGTTAATAGATAAGAGCAAAATGACAATCTGAAAAGAGGCATCTGGACTTTATCTGTTTGTTTGCAGTGCTTATGTAATACAACCAGCCTAATTCATATAGGTCTCTGAAGTTAACATATAGGTATTTGGTTGGTAAAATGCAATGTAGAGATTGTTTAGTGCATGCCATTTATCCAGGCAACTCAATATTAAAATATGTTGCTAATAAAGAACCATTGATACAAGAACAACAACAATGGATGCTTCTTCAAACTGACAGGCTCAAACATATGCATGTCAGACCCTGTCTAGACAGAGTTAACACTCAGAATGTGTAGAAGAGCTGGTTGCAGTGACACAATCAAACAATAAAACCAATGGCACAATAGGTGCATCTTAAATATAATCCAGACATATGCATTCTGAAATATGGATAAATAAACCAAATACTCCTACAATCTGGTGCTTTTGCAAAACGAGGTCAGCTTGGTAATTATATGTTTAGGTTACTTACAGAAAAAGACAACGTTCTGGTAGAGAAGAACAGACATTAGATATCATTTTGGTCATGAAAAGGGAGAGAAAGCTGAAATGCCAGCAAGACAAGAACCTGGATTGGAACCCGGATTTGGATTTTGTTAGCATCCATCAAGTAGCTGTGGATGCGCAGCTAACGGTTCAAAAATTAAACCCCTGCTCGTTTAAGATAAAGAATGAAGATTTTCGGTGTGTTTATCTTGACTTCATACAAGTGATATTCATATAAACAATCAGTATTCAAAACAACAAGTGTCAAGAGGAGCGAGTAAAAGGTTAGCTTCGGCTACGCTGACTGAATGTATTAGCTAGCGCCCGATTTAGGAGAGATGCATGACCGTTTAGAGAAAAATAAAACGAAAACTTAAGAGGAAATTTTTTATAATAAACTGGGCACCCAACTACACGACAACAACCACTGCTGACGGGACATATGATGGCTGCAGTTTGTTTACGGTTAGCCAACTCGTATGAGCCACTCAGCTGTTCGGCCTGCTCTCATTTAGCCAACAGATGAGACCGCGATGATCGAGTGAGAACCCGGCGGACAGCCGGAGCACCTGCTGCGGTGTGCACTTACAGGAAAGGCCCGTATCCTCATTTTGGTGTCCTTCTTGGTGCCGCCTTTGCTGAGATTGGACATGTTTGCCTAATCCGTAGGCTCTGTTTTCACATGAAAGTGTTCTTCGGGGAAGGGACAGGGGTGGATATGGTTTGAGGAACAGCTGACGAGCTTTCCCTCAACCCCGCAGCTCTGCGTCCCGTACCGCAAGTTTTTTGTTGACAGCTAAACGCCAGGCCAGATAACTCTTCATACAGCAATGGCGAAATACCTGCAGCGCTCCCTGCGCTGAGATCACGTTCTATAGATAACGCGAGAACTTCGGCCAAGAATTTAAAATTTTGACCAATTTTGTTGCAACTTGTTTAGTCTAGTTAATCAAAGACATCTTTATTATAAGAGTTAAAATCTTTTTTATACCTTACTTTAGTGTAACAGGGATTTTTCCATCAGTTTCATTTGAATTAAAAAAAAAATGTATTTGATCTTAAAATCTTGTGGCATCTATCCATCCCTATGTCTGTCTGTTTATCAATCGTTTTTCCTTCTTTTATTGTCATTACACTGTCATAGTACAGAGCAACGAAATTAACTCTGCATTTAACTCATCCATTCTTCGGCACCTAGGGAGCAGTGTGGGGTTAAGGGCCCTTTTTGACACCATACTTGCATTCAGCAATCCCTAGTTTAATTTTAAAGCTAAATGATTATTCTAGTAGACTTGAAGCTTTTTTTTTAAGAGCAATTGCAATCTATTTTGTCGGTTACCCAAAATATGCTTTTTTTTTTTTGTATTTGTAAAGGTACTTTTGCAGTACACATATCTTTTATAATTTTGCTCAAAATGGGAATTAGTTTATCTTTTAATATAACAGGTTACCCACAGAACCAGAGCTGATTGTGGCTCTGGAGTCCCCAGATATAGCAGATTAAAAAGGGGTGCACTGATTTGTCGGTCCCTGTTTCCTTTATTTTGGGAGGTTGGCTCATTCATGAAACCAATCTTAAGACAAACCTTATCTACCTACGCAAATGTCTAATAATCAGCAACTATCAATGCTCCAAACATCTCACTTGTTTGAGGTTTTTTTATTGTTACATAGGTGTATTTTTTAGATATGGGTTTTTATATTTCTCCTGCTCTCTGCATTAGATGTTCAATTATTCATCTGCCTCCTTTAGTGATAATGGTATGTGTAATAACTGAAGTATTTGTTTAGCTTTGGAAGCGAGGGTGTCAGAGTTCTGCAACCGCACACATCAAATGTCGCTTGGGTCTGGTGGTGAACCAGTTTTGCTGCTGTGCTTCTGCACAGTCGGTCTGGAATTTCTAGGGATGCACAGAAGTTTCCCGCCAAAGCGCAAGGGGGAGCCTATTCGAGAACTCACGAGAACTTCGATAGATTGTACTTACGAACCTCCTCGATTAACCTTTCGTCGTAGTTGTCCATTGTAGTTGTTCCTCGGTTTTTAAAAATGGGGTGCCCCGGCACCGAATCAAGAAGGACGACCACACAGACAACTGGAAAGGCATACCAAGGACCAATCACAGCTGCTTTTTGTCTGTGCACTTCCGTTTGAGGTCTGCGTGGGTTTGCAACCATCCTACGAGTAGTCAAGATATTTTTTTGAGGTGCGCGACGACGGTTGCCGAACCTCTGCACAGGGGGCGTGGTTACACAGAGACAGATTTGACGGTTGCAGAGGCTATGCGTCAGAAGCATCAATTTGCTTTTAGAGTCCCGGCTTCGGGCTGTCGGACATCATGGAGTTAGAGTAGGCCCATTTCTTAACAGCCTGGAGGCACAGAGACCAGGGATACGTCCACATAGTGGTCCTCCAACAGTGTCTGAGCAGCCAGGTGATTGGGTAACGGAACGCAGAAAGCATAGTCATGGATCTTTGGTTACCACCAACCCATCTGTGTTTCTAACTGATTTTGCCCACTCAGTGACACACCCTCTGGGAAGCCTACTTTGGTGACTAGCATCTCCATAGTCAGAGACGTGGCATTAGAGAAACCAGTGACCATAGTCAAACGTTTGCCGGTGGCCAGGACGAGCTACATCAAATCCTACCTGAAACTGCTGGCTAGGGATAAGGTAGAATATACAGTAAGGTTGTTATTTATGCTGGGGGTAATGACACCCGGTTACGCCGATTTGAGGTCACTAAAATCAGTTTTGCTTTGTTGTGTAAGTTTGCCTAAACATTGTCAGTTTCTGTAATTTTCTCTGGTCCCCTCCCTGATCTGACTAGTGATTACATGTTTAGCCACATATAGCCATTCAACCGCTGGTTGTCTAGGTTTTGTCCTGAAAAACGTTGTAAACTTCATAGATAAATGACAATAATTTTGGGGAAAATGTGGTCTAATTCCGAGAGATGGCATCCATTGCACTTTGAATGGTGCAGCTTTTCTTTCTAGAAATCTGGCCACATTTATTAGTCCTCCAAAGCAGACCAGGAATCAGAGTTGTAGTTTAACACATCTCTCTTCAGCTTCTCTACTGTTACCCGCTCATTACTCCATCCAGTGTCTGGCCCACGACCAAAATCAAATTAATTAGAAAAGAATCCATCCATCCATCATCTGACACGCTCGCCTGAGTTGGATCGCAAGGGGTGCTGGTGCCTATCTCCAGCAGTCAATGGGCAAGAGGCAGGGTACACCCTGGACAGGTCGCCAGTCCATCACAGGGCAACACAGGACAAACCACCATTCACGCACACACTCACACCTAAGGACACTTAAGAGAAGCCAATCAACCTAACAGTCATGTTTTTGGACTGTGGGAGGAAGCCAGAGTACCCGGAGAGAACCTACACATGCTGAGGGAGAACATGCAAACTCCATGCAGAAAGACTGGGCCGGGAATCAAACCCAGAACCTTATCACTGTTTTTGCCTTAATCCATAACACTGCTGGTGTCGAGAAGGGTGCTGGTGCCTATCTCTAGCTGTGAATGGGCGAGAGGAGAATAAATCATAATAATCAAAATAAAATTTTAAATAACTCCAATCAGGGAAAAAGTTAAAACAATTAAATATAGTTTATTTTACATTACAACTCTTTCTTCAAAACATCTGTTAGTTAATGACTTGATTTGGTTCAAATTGATTTATGTGTCGTAAAGAAACTTCACTGTAGTAAGAGGATTATGTGAGCATAAATGAGGAAACTCACTCTAGTTATTGAAATTTTCACCTACCAAGAAATTCTCATCTTCATATTTTTGACCTTGTGCTGACATATGGCATTGAATATGAAGAAATAACAGTATTTCCTCACAACCCTGTCCTCTCTTACCAATTTTTAGGAAACTTAAAATTACTTTTACAGAGTTTTCCTACCCCAAAAGAAGGTTTCACTTTAGCAGATCATCATCAGATAATGCATTTATGTATTTTAAAGAATGTGTTTTATTATTTATTTTTAGGAAGTTCAAAAACTGTAGTTAGTTGACGCGGCCACCGGGGGAGCTGTTGACCGTTATCTTTTGTATCTCTGCTTCTATCTGTATGTCTGCTTCTGTCTTTTGAACCCCAGTTGACCTTGTCAAATAGCCCCTCATACTGAGCCTAGCTCTGCTGGATGTGTCTTCCTGTTAAAATGGAGTTTTCCTCTCCACTGTCACCACATGCTTGCTTGGTGAGGAGGATTGCTGAAGAGTCAAAGAGTCGATGCAATCAGCCGGTTTTCCTAAGATAAAAAACTTTGAACCAATCTGACCGTATGATCTAGTTGAAATATCTTTGTAAGGTGCCTTGAGATGACATCTGTTGTGAATTTGCACTATATAAATGAACTGAATGGAATTTAGTTTAAAATAAGATTGAACCAATTAAAGGTATATTGAGATCATATAACAATTGATAAAGAAATATTGTTATCGGTCAAAATTGGAATCATGTCAGGCTTTTTATAGATCGATACATATCGACCAGAAAGCTGCAATCAGTGCAAACCCTAAAATGGTGATCCTATTTTAATTTGACTGATGCTAAAAGTGCAACCCCATCATTTTTAAATCATTGTTGAAATAAAAGTGTAAAGATAAAAATTTGAAAGAGATCAAAGGGACCTTTTAACTACATTGTCTGACCCAGTGCATATATTTGTAGGAAATGTTGTAATTTAGTAATCCGTCGTTAGTACAGGGTTAGTGGAGGTTCGTAGAGGACCCGCATGCAGAGTCAAAGACTGAACTGGTTTCTTAGACATTTAATAATTAGAGTAGCAGCAACAGAAGCATAAATCAAGAAATAATAAACCAAGGAACACAGGAAACAGAACAGAGGGTAACAGAATTTCAGGAGGAAATTAAGAAAATCCAGCAAAGATTAACTGCAGAGAAGGAGAAAATATACTAGACAGAACAATGAATCAAGTAATCAACTGATTGGGAGCAGGTATGGAAGGAAGTAGCTAGAAGGGAGCCAAGGGGAAAGGAGAGTGGAACAAGGGGGCAACAGAGAGTAACGAATAAATAGAACAGTGATTCAATATAATTAGAAATAAACTTAGATACTAAATGGAAATTAAACTAATGACTCAGGAGGACATAAATCAAAGTTTAACCTAAAACCCAAAGTTAATACTTGGTGGAAAAAAACAAATCCAGAGCAGCAGATTATAACACCTACTGTATGTCTCTATCTCATTACCTACACTCTCTCCCTGCACTTTAAGCCAAACACAACTTTATCATGCATGTGTTTTTATGAAAAGTCACTTCAATGGACGAGTCCCGTTATGGTGTAAGTAACATAGCGGTGTTACCCAAAAGAGAAAACTAATATGTTAGGTTACTCTTTTACTGTTACTATTGACTAAAGCCATTACTGCTAACCTTACCCAGTAAACTCTATTTTGCACATTTGAACTCTTGGTTGTTTTGTCCTGACCACTATATTTTAAAACAGATTCATCAGATTCTTTGAGTGCTCTCTATAGGCCATGGCTTTTTCCCATGAGATGCAGTGAAGGTGCCAATAAACCCCACTAAAACAGTTAAATATTAAAAGGAGTTATTCAAAGGCACTTTAAAGACAATAGGTGGATTTTTACTGCTAATAAACATGAGTCTGAAGGTTTTAGCTACCTATGAAACCAAACACACCCTCTCTCATAGCTTGAAATGATTACTCTTCTCAAAATAGTTGAGATAGTTTTCTTTGTCATGTTGCACATGATATGGGTCCAATTAAAGTATTTAAAAATGATACTACTATTATTTACTTTTATAAAACTAAAGTCTGGGGATTTTTTTTTTTCTATTCACTCATTTTT